GTCCTGGCTTCAGCTGTGCTTGCCATGAAACTCTCAACCCCCAGCCTTTCCAATTGCTGTTTTGTTTGTATTTGTGGGGGTGTGACCCACCGAGCCTGATCACCTGGCTCCCTGCCTCAAAGCCCTTTTTTTTAAAGTTGAACGGTTGACTCTCTCAGGTGTTCCAGTTGCCTGCTGAAAGGGCGCTGGGAACTGTGTGATTTCCCGTGTGGTGACCCACTGCGCCGGCTGAAACAACATTGCTGCCTGGGAATCTCCTGGCCTGGCTTACTGCTTATGTCCCATTTAATCAGATGAATATGCTAATCTGCCTTCCCAAATCTCAAATTTCTGGTTTAACAGGGCAACAAGACCAGTGTATTTTGTATGGAGTGCCGCTGCGCTGTGGTGCCAGCTGAAACAGCTGCGCCGGCCAAAACAGCCGTGCTGGCGGCCCGTGCGGCTCCTACACCTGGGAATCTCCTGGTCTGTGGGCAATAAAGATCCATCTGGAAATGCGACGTCCACTCACCCTCTGCGCTTTCACTGGGAGCTGCAATTCTGAGTTGCTCCTATAGCGCCATCTTCTCCTCCCCCTACTCTGTCTCCAGATTTTTTAATGACTGCCATTCGAACTGGTGTGTGATGGTATCTCAATGTAGTTTTGATTCGTATTTCTCTAATGACCAGTGATGATGAGCATTTTTTCTTATGTTTGTTGGCCTCATGTATGTCTTCTTTTGTAAAGTGTCTGTTTATATCCTTAGCCCACTTGGGCTTGTTTTGTTCTTGTAAATCTGTTTTAGTTCTTTGTAAATTCTGGACATCAGCCCTTTGTCAGATGGGCAAATTGCAGAAATTTTTTTCCCATTCTGTCGGTTGCCGATTCACTCTAATGACTGTTTCTTTTGCCGTGCAGAAGCTGTGGAGTTTGATTAGGTCCCATTTGTCTATTTTGGCTTTTGTTGTCAATGCTTCTGGTGCTTTGGTCATGAAGTCCTTGCCTACTCCTATGTTCTGAGTGGTCTTGCCTTGATTTTCTTCTAGGGTTTTTATGGTGTAATTCTTATGTTTAAGTCTTTAATCCATCTGGAGATAATTTTAGGGTAAGGTATCAGGAAGGGGTCCAGTTTCTGCTTTCTGCCCATGGCTAGCCAGTTTTCCCAACACCATTTATTAAACAGGGACTCCTTTCCCCATTGCTTGTTTTTGTCAGGTTCGATGACAAACCATTTAAATTATACTTTGGAATAAGTAAAAATTGATTTTTCAAATTAATTTTGATTGCCATATTGCAGTGAGCTAATAAATATTAGTAAATAGAACAATTCTGCTATGTTAGGCTTTGTTTTTTTTTGTTTTGTTTTGTTTTGTTTTTTATTGAGACAGGGTCTTACTCTGTCACCCAGACTGGAGTACTTTGGTGCAATCTTGGCTCCATGCATCCTCTGCCTCCCGGGTTCCCAAGCAATTCTCCTGCCTCAGCCTTACAAGTAGCTGGGATTACTGGTACGTGCCAGTACCTCCCGGCTAAGATTTTTTGTGTTTTTAGTACAGACTGAGTTTCACCATATTTGCCACGCTGGTCTGGAACTCGTGACTTTAGATGATCTACTTGCCTTAGCCTCCCATAATGCTAGGATTACAGGCATGGGCCACCATGCCCAGCCTCTTTTTGTTTGTTTGTTTTTTTAAGATGGAGTCTCACTTTGTCACCCAGGCTGGAGTGCAGTGGTGCCATCTCGGCTCACTGCAATCTCCGTCTCCCGGTTTCAAGCGATTCTCCTGCCTCAGCTTCCGGAGTAGCTGGGATTACAGGCACCTGCCACTACGCCCAGCTAATTTTTGTATTTTTAATAGAGGTAGAGTTTCACTATGTTGGCCAGGCTGGTTTTGAACTCCTGACTTCAAGTGATTTACCCGCTTTGGTCTGTCAAGGTACTGGGATTGCAGATGTGGGCCACTGTGCCAGAGATGTTAGGCTTTGGGATAGCTTAGTGGATTCAAATTAATTGCACCTCATACTTGGAGTATTTTACCTGTATGTCTGTGTATTTTAAGAATGGTTTTACTGAGATAGAATTTATATATCATGTAATTCACCCATTTAAAATGTATGATTTGATGGTTTTTAGCATATTCACAGTTGTACAACCATCCCCATAGTCAATTTTAGAACATTTTTATCACCCAGAAAGAGACCTGTACCCTCTAGCCGTAAACACCAACCATTCTATCCGATACTTCATCCATAGCCAACCACAAATCTACTTGGTATATCTATGGATTTGTGTATCTTTTCTGGACATTTTATACACATGGAGTCATACAGTATGTGGCCTTTTGTGACTGGTTTCTTTTACTCAGCATAATGTTCTCAAGTTTATCCATGTTTTGTTGTACCATGTAACAAAATTTCATTCATTTTATGGCTAATATTTTATTGTATGAATGTACTACATTTTGTGTATCCATTCATCAGTTGATGGACATTTGTATGGTTTCTACCTTTTGTATATTACATACCTATTAGCATTTGTGTGCGGGTTTTTTTGTTGGATATTTATTTTCACTCATGTTGGGTATATACATAGGAGTACAATTGCTGGATCAAATGGTAACTCTATGACTAACACTTTGAGGAACTGCCAGACTATTTTCCAAAGTGGCTTTACTGTTTACATTCCGATCAGCAGTATATGAGAATCTCTTCTCCACATGTTTGCCAGAACTAGTTATTATCTCACTCTTTTATTCTAACCATTCCAGTAGATGTGACATGGTATTCCACTGTGGCTTTGATTTGCATTTCCCTGATGCCAGTAATGTTGAACAACTTTTATGCTTATTTGCCATGTGTCTGTCTTCTTTGAAGAAATGTTCATTCAGATTCTTTACCTTCATTTTAACTGGGTTTTATTATTATTATTATTATTACTGAGTTGTAAAAGTTCTTTATATTGATATACGTCCTTTATCAGGTAAATTATTTGCAAAATATTTTCTGTGATTTTCTGAATTATACTATAAATTCTTTCTATTTTATCTGCATCACTATCCTGGAAGGTAAAATGGGTCATTATTATATTCATTTTATATCTATTTTTATAAAAAGTTCTATATTAACTTTGTCAAAGTGTTAGCAGTTGTTAATGGGCAAAAGATTAGGCCTGGGTCATCTTATACCTTCTACAGTGTTCTGTTTGTGATTTTGTTGACAGTGTAATGTAAATTGGAAGTTTGGGGATAATGAAAACAAAGAATGATTTAGAGTCTAGAATTTTTTAAAAATCAAAGTTTAGTAACAAACCCGTTATTTTACCATTTTAATTCTTACCTGAATTCCCTAAAGTGGAACTTAACAAATAAAAATCTTATTGAGTATTCTTAGAGGACAAGAGTTGACAAAATGTTTGGAAACTAAAACATCTTATTTATTTGATAAATATGAGAGTAATTTATAACCGAGTACCAAGTGGCCAAGGGCAAATGAAGAGTGATGTTATTTTCAGTGAGGCATAATACTAGCAAGAATATCCCCTCTTCCTGAATGTGTTTGATCTGGGCTTTATCAGCAAGTCATTAAATTTGGGGGTTTATGATCCATCATACTTACTAGATTTATCACCCTGGGATTTTGTTCCTTTCCTTAATGTGGAATTTAAAAAGAATTCTAAAATTGACACTATTGTGATGGAATTTTCTCATGCCTTTGATAAAGGAAATATATAATGTATTAAATTTTATAGTGGAAGGTAAGCCTGTTGAAGTCCAATAAATATGCTTTCTGGTGATTTATTTATAATTTGTTTTTAGTAACTTTTTGCCTGTTTTCTGTGTGTGCATATAAGCTCTCAGCCCTCCCTCACTAACCACCCATGATCACTGCAGCTTCTAGCCTTTAGGTTGAAAAATCTTGGAGGGGAATAATGAAACTTAATTTTATTCTTAAAATAGAGTGTTTCCATATATCTTTTTTTTTTTGAGACAGAATCTTGCTCCATCGCCAGGTGCCAGGCTGGAGTGCAGTGGCACGATCTCGGCTAACTGCAACCTCCGCCTCCCGGGTTCAAGCAATTCTCCTACCTCAGCCTCCCGAGTAGCTGGGACTACAGGCGCATGCCACCATGCCCAGATAATTTTTATATTTTTAGTAGAGATGGGGTTTCACCATGTTGGCCAGGAGGGTCTTGATCTCTTGACCTTGTGATTCGTCTGCCTCGGCCTCTCAAAGGGCTGGGATTACAGGCATGAGTCACTGCGTCCGGCTCCATATATCTTAAAACCAGGATTCATGCTGGGCACAGTGGTTAATGCCTTTAATCCCAGCACTTTGGGAGGCTGTTGGGAGACTGAGGTGGAGTACTTGAGTCCAGATGTTAGAGACCAGCCTGGGCAACATAGCGAATCCCTGTCTCTACTAAAAAGTACAAAAAATTATCTGGGTGTGGTGGCATTCTCTTGTGTTCCCAGCTGCTTGGGAGGCTAGCATGGGAGAATCCTCCTTTTCTCCATTTAATTGAGCCTGGGAGACTGAGACTGCAGTGAGCCAAGATGGTGCCACTGCACCCCAGCCTGGGTAGCCGGAGTGAGACCCTGTCCCAAAAAAACAACAGAAACCCAAAAAAATAAAGCAGGATTTATCTTGTAAGCTTAATGAAGAAGTTTATTTTCAAGTAATTTCTTACTAATCACAAATTTCAGCATCAAAGGGTTAATAAATTACTGGAGTTTTCCTTGAGTGCTTTTAATATAAAGAACGCACAAAGAAGCTAGGAATAAAGATAATTATTTTGTGGGAAAGATTTAGTATTTATGGTATGCATATTAAGATTAATTCACTGTTTTGTTAAAAAAAGTAATGTTACAGTTTTAGTATGATGCAATATAAAGTGTTATTTTTGAAAGATTCTGAATAATACTTGATTTCTAAGATATATTGCAATATCGTAAGTGTAGTGTATCTGCCATTGTAACTTGGTGATAATTATTTAAAAAGTTTTAATGTTGAATTTTTCTAGGTGGATATTCCATCCATTATAACCAAGAAACTATTAAAAGCAGCAATGAAGCATATAGAAGTGATAGTTAAAGCCAGACAGAAAGGTAATACAGTTTTCTACTACAGTTTGAGTGATTTTGTTTTTATACACCATTTTTTACCTGAAATATCTAATTATGAGTACCAATTCATTAACTTATGTATTCACAGTTGCTGTTAGAGTATTCTTTTAAACTGAAATCTCTTTCAGTAGTTTGCTACTAATGTGTGAAAACTCGAGAACCTTTGAAAATTAAAATAAAAGTTAACTTTATTGCTGACACTCTTGTTTTTTTAATGATAATGTTTCTCTCTGGTATCTTTCATTTCTCTTCTCTCTTTCTCCTTAATTTCAATGGTTTTGACCTATTCTAGCCCATCCTATATATTGCTCTAGTTTACTTTCGTGATATGACAAGTCTCATGTTGTCTTTCTACTAAAAAAAATTTAGTAACTATCATAACATCTAAATTGTGTATTTAACTCCTTTTCTATCTAGTCAGATATTAGATCTAGTCTTCTCTTTCACTATGTATTATGCTTTAGCCAGGATGACTATTTGCTGGTTCTTATGTGTCTTCTGTCCTTTTTACGGTCATGATTTGCACATAGTAAATGTTCATTAAATGTTTTCCCTTCCTTTCTTCCTTCCTTTCCTCCTTTTCTTTTTATCATATCCTGCAGGATCTTTTATGATTGAGTGAGTGGAATCCTCATTTGAAACTTTTCATGCTCTTAAGATCAAGCTCTAAAAGGTTTCTTTTTAACAAAACTACTTCTATGCACTAAGTTCTTTGTGAAACTGAGATTTTCCTTGTATTTGCATTTGGTATTCTTTTTTGTCAATGGTTTCTGAAGTATGTTCCGCAGAATACCACTCTACATACACGATCATATGACCAGAAGAGGTTTTATGGTCATATCTTTTGTTAATTACTATTGTATTCCCCTTGTAAAAATTCCCATAGGTAGGAGCACACCAAAAGCTCTGGGTATTTTGCAGTAGTGCAATAGCTTTAACTTCAACCTAGCATGTTCCAAATTCATTTGAGTATGGAACCATTTATCCCTCCCACGTAGTGTCAATTATTTTAATCAGAAAACATTTTGGGAAATTATGCTGCAGGTAGATTTGAAGTTAAATGTAATTATCAGTTTATTTGCCTCCCCCTTTTTTTTCTTTTTCCTGGAAAATTAAAGCAATTAAATCAAGAAGAGCTGCATTGTGAACCCAAGCAGTCACATGTTCAGTTCTGGCACAGTGCATGAATATACAAGGTGCTCAACAAATGCTGTTTTGTTGTTGTTGTTTTTGAGATGGAGTCTCGCTCTTGTTGCGCGGGCTGGAGTGCTATGGTGCAATCTCGGCTCACCACAACCTCCGCCTCCCAGGTTCAAGCGATTCTCCTACCTCAGCCTCCTAAGTAGCTGGGATTACAGGCATATGCCACCGCGCCAGGCTAATTTTGTATTTCAGTAGAGACAGGGTTTCTCCATGTTGGTCAGGCTGGTGTTGAACTCTCAACCTCAGTCGATCCACCCACCTCAGCCTCCCAAAGTGCTGGGATTCCACATGTGACCCACCGTGCCCAGCCCCTGTAGGCCCTTTGATATGAATAGTTCCTCAGATGTGAGTATTATTTTAAATTATATGTTTAAAAATTATTCTGTGTTCATCCTATAACAAGTAAAAGTAATTTTACTTTCAACATATTTAAAGGGAGGCTGAGGCGGGTGGATCAGTTGAGGTCAGGAGTTTGAGACCAGCCTGGCCATCATGGTAAAATCCTGTCTCTACTAAAAATACAAAAATTGGTGAGGTGTGGCGGTGTGTGCCTGTAATTCCAGCTACTCAGGAGGCTGAGACAGGATAATGGCTTTAACCTAGGAGGCAGAGGTTGCAGTGATCAGAGATAGCACCACTGTACTCCAACCTGGGTGATAGAGCGAGACTCCAGCTTAAAAAAAAAGAATGTAAAAGAATTTGAGTACATGTAACTTCTTTTTGGATTAAAAAAAGTTTTTTTTCTTCTTTTAGAGATGATGTCTTACTGTGTTGCTCAGGCTGATCTCAAACTCTTGGGCAAAAGCAATCTGCCTGCCTTGGCCGTCCAAAGTGCCGAGATTACATGCGTGAGCCACTGTGCCTCACATAACTTAATTGTGTTGTGAAGTCTACTTTACTGTCAGAAGAATGTATAGGAAAAGTATTTTTTAAAAAAATCAGTTGATTTTATGTTTTAGAACAATTTTAAGTTTACAGAATTATTGAGCAGAAAGTACAGTGCTTTCTCATACACTTTCACCTTTTCCTAGTATTAAAACATCTTGCATTACTTGATACATTTGTTATAGTCAATGTGCCAATGTTGATACATTGTTATTAACTAAAGTCTGTAGTTTACATTAGGTTTTACTCTCACATTGTGCATTCTATGGATTTTGATAAATGTATAATCATGTATTCACCATTACAGTAGCATACTGAATAGTTTCACTGCCTAAAAATCCCCTGTGCTTTATCTCTTCATCATTCTTTTCTCTGAAAACCCTGGCAACCACTGATCTGTCTCCACAGTTTTTACGTTTCCAGAATGTTATATAGTTGGCATCACACAATATGTTTCAGGCGGATTTCTTTCACTTAGAAATATACATTTAACCTCCTCTATTTTTTCGTGGCTCGATAACCCATTTCTTTTTATTACTCAATTACATTCCATAGTACAGATATACCACATTTTGTTTATCCATTCACCAATTGAAGCGCACCTTGGTTCAGTTTTTGGCAATGATAAATAATGCTGCTATAAACATTTTAATACAGTTTTAATTTTGTTCTAAAGACAAAGACAAGAAGCCTCTCAGGCTATGAGTAAATTGAATCATCTTTTAATTTTTAGTAGAATTGATGAGTTTAGTAAAATCCCCAAATTATTTTGTCTCTGTGAGAGTGACATTATATATGTATATCACATTGTTAATCCCACCACTTTGGAAAGCTGAAGCTGGGGGATTGGCTGAGCCCAGGAGTTTGAGACAAGTCTGGGCAACATAGTGAGACCCTGTCTCTATAAAACAATTAGCCGAGTGTGGTGGCATGTGCCTGTAAGTCCTAGCTACTTGGGAGGCTGAAGCAGGAGGATTTCTTGAGCCTAGGAGTTTGAGATGCAGTGAGCTATGCTCACCCCACTACCCTCCAGCCTGGGCAACAGAGCAAGACCCTGTCTCCAAAAAAAAGAAAAGGAGAGTGATACATATATAAACTAATTTGACTTAAATTTATCATTGAATTTTTGCGAGAAGCGTTCCTAATTTGCTACTATTCATGTAAAAAATAATCCTCAATTATGAAGTCATCCAAAAATGCTACATTGGATTCATTAATTACATTGTAATCATTATAATTAATGAAGTCCATAGAAGTGGAGGGTTTTGATTTTATCCCAAGATCCCTGTGTTCTAAATATTATGACAGTAAATTAGGTAGGGTTGTAAAAAAAACGTTTTTAAATTTTTGATTTTTCATTTCTTTTAATGTATAAATTCGTTTTCTAAGTTCTTTGGCTCTACATGTGAGCATAATTCAGGAAGTAAAATTTCATTTCTTCATCCATAGTTGTCTTTACTGTCTTGGCATTCTCTGCTTAATCTTCTTCTTGAGAATAGGCATTATATAGAAGTTTTCTGTCTATGTAAGTACTTCCATGGCTCTTAGAAATATTGGATATATATATGTGTGTGTGAATATATACACATATATAAAATATATGAATATGTGTATATTCAATGTTCATATATATATATACACACACACATATAAAACTGCATATATAACATTTAAATTGAATAATTATTGTGCAGAAGGACCTTACTCTAGGCTTGCAACCTGAAGGTATCTCTTTATCACAGATGTTGGGGAGCTTTTATGGTCTGAAAACTGCCAATTGATTAGGTATTAAATATACTGGTGATCAGTGGAGATTAGTCCATGCTTTGTATTTCAGCATCTCTATTTTGCTTATATTCCCTGTTAAGAGTAAGGTGTTTTCCCCAACTTTTAAATATTTTGCCTGATTTCTTTAATTTCTTATCACTTAGGATTATAAAAATCCCTTATGTCTGACAGGTGCTGAGTAGATTCCAATCTAGTGATTTAATTTATATATGATGTGTGAATGCTGAATCATACCAAATATTATAATTACTTTTTTATATTACATGATGACTTTTCAGTGTTAATAACTTTTTACTAATACAGATTCTAAGGCTCAAAGGGATTATTTCATTTGTTCAAAATCTTACCAGTAATGAAGCAGAGCTGGGACTTAGCACAGCTTACTGTTCTAAGATACTGTGCACAGATTTCTGACTTTTATGCCCATGATATAAATTTCTAAAAGATCTATGCCCCAAATTCTGGAGGGATGAAAAAAAAACTTGGCAAATAATTTAAAATGCACTTCTTATAAAAACTATGTCCTTTGCCAATCCCACTTCAGTATCACAAGTGAAGATAGCCTTGATTTACCTTCTTATTAGTGTTGCCAAACTGACACTGGGATCTGCAGTATGAGAAAGTGAAGCATTTGTTGCTAACAAGGAGAAAAGGCAGTTAATGCTTATGACCTGAACTCCCCAGTAGCATAAAAGCAAGGTTTTTTAGACTTGGGGTAAATTTCAGGAAAGCAAAAGTTAGATGTGAAATCATAAGTCAATACCTGAAGGTTATACATTGGTTTGATTCAGAAAGCCAGGATATCTTGAGTGTTTATAAGTGATAGGTGGATTCAGAAAGTCTTTGGTTTGCAGTTGGTTAAGAAAGCAAGGCTCTGTCTAAAAACCTGGGGTCAGCAGAAAGGAATGTTAAGGTTTGGCCTGTGAGTGTGACTCTCTTCAGGCCCCTCAGGAAGAAATTTAGAACAAAGAACAGTGGTTAGAGTTCAGTCCTCAGTTCCCCCTTGTCTTAGGTCTACATGACAGTGGTTGGCCTTTTCTGTCTAGTGGGGGTCCATGTTTCTGACACGTAGTTCAAGGACATACGTTACAATTTTATTTTTAGTTTCTGTAGGGAACCAAACATCTTGTGACTCTGGCTTACTTGGATGGCTATTATTTATGTTACTATTTTCTTGTTTATCAGGTTATTTGCTGTTAAACTCTCCTAATTGCTGGTTGTAGGGCTAGCTAGGTGCTTGCAATTTCCCTTGAAGGGACTCAAAAGTTTTCCTTTATTTTCCTGCTGGGGGTCCTGGCAGGCTGCTAAGAGGAGTTACTGCTCCATCTCAGTATTCACACTGTTGGAATGCATATCATGCCTTTTTGTGTATATGAATATGCTTGCATTCTATTTCAATAAAAATAGAAGGAAATCGTTCTAAACTAAATGCCATTGAATTAGGATTAAAATTCCCAACACAGACTCCATGATGTGAAAACTGCACAGAGTGCAGAAAGGGAAAAGCATCACTTGCCTTTCCACTTAGTCTTTTCAGGTCTATAAAAAGGAGACAATACTATTAATTTTACATTTGAAAATATTAGTTAACTCCAGGCCTAAAAAAAAACTTCGTTAACATAACTTTTATTATCAGCTAATGTTTATTAAGAAATCAATCCTTTCATGGGCTTCTACTTTAAACAGTTTTATATTTCTGATGTCTTGTGCTCTGGGCTGAAGATCCACAATTTAACCAGTGAAGCCAGATTCTATTGTGAACACAAGTTCTCTGAAAACGAATTTGAGAGTAAAGACACTTTGTTTCAGGGACAGTTTGCAAACCAGGGAAACATAGCCGTCAGTGTAAAACAAAGGTGCATTTCAGAGAACAAAGAGAGAGTTACTGGTTTTATAGCAAAAGTTCCTCCCCAGGTTCCCAATCAGCCCTGTTTATGCAGATGAAAGATTGAAATCTGATTGGTCAGTGCAACTGAATTCTGATTGCTTGATACAGCTAAATCTTGATTGGCGGGGACAGGTGAGCTTAGATTGGTTGGTTGGTTCACGTGAGCCTCTGATTGTTTGCTTTCCAGGCCCAAAACTAGAAATCTGCCAGATATTTCCTTTGAAATAGCTTCTAGGGGTGGGGGTTTCTGGCCACAGTTAATCTTGGCACCCAGCAGCAGGAACTGGTTTTGCTTGATTGTCGAAAGGGAGGTCCTATGGAAAAAGTTTCACAGCATCTTTCTGAGAACACAGAGTATGTAAGTGCTTCCTAACCAGCTACAGCCTGGTTGTATTTTAAATTTGGGTTTCTCAGTTAGCTAGGGGGAGTCTATTTTGTCTGATGGCTGAGGGCATATTTTGATACTGTAAGTGCTTTAAAAGATTACTTAGATGTGAAGCAGATGCAGTTAAAGAATTTTGAGGCTGGGCTCAGTGTCTCATGCCTGGAATCCCAGCACTTTGGGAGGCCAAGGCAGGTGGACACCTGAGGTCAGGAGTTCCAGACTTGCCTGGCCAGTGTGGTGAAACCCTGTCTCTACAAAAAATATAAAAATTAGCTGGAGGTAGTGGCGGATGCCTGTAATCCCAGCTACTCTGGAGGCTGAGGCTGGAAAATTGTTTGGACCTGGAAGGTGGAGGTTGTAGTGAACTGAGATCGTGCCATTGCACTCCAGCCTGGGGGACAAGAGCAAAACTCCGTCTCAAAAAAAAATAAAAAATTTTAAAAAAATAGAATTTTGAGGCCTATCATCTCAGCACTTTGAGAGGCTTAAGGTGAGCAGATTGCTTCAGTTCAGAAGTTTGAGACCACCCTGGCAACATGACAAAACCCCATCTCTACAAAAAAATACAAAAATTAGCTGGGCACAGGAGTACCTATGGGCCCAGCTACTCTGGAGATTCAGGTGGGAGGATCACTTGAGCCAAGGAGGTGGAGGCTGCAGAGAGCTGAGACTGCACCATAGCACTCCAGCCTGGGTGATGGAGCGAGACCTTGTCTCAAAAAAATAATAATTTTGTGTAGGATAAGTTTTGCTTTTGGAGAGGATAAAGAAGATACAGCATTTGATAACAAAAGCCTTATGTGTGCTAGAAGTTGTAAAAGTTGTTTTCTCCAATTTTTTCCACTTAATCATTTGCTATTATTTTGTAACTTGTAGAGACATAAGTTTAAATTCCTGTTTACAAAGGGCCCATTTATCAATTTATTTCAAAGTAAGCAAGCTTCTCAAAGAATGCATGTTGAAAAGAGGCTAGGAAAGGAATGACTCGGTTACATGCTTTTTTAAAAAAAAAAATTCTCCATTCACTGCAAACTCTGCCTCCCAGGTTCAAGTAAATCTTCTGCCTCAGCCTCCTGAGTAGCTGAGACTACAATCATGTGTCCCCATACCTGGCTAATTTTTGTAGAGACAGGATTTTGCTATGTTGGCCGGACTGGTCTCAGACTCCTGGCCTCAAGTCATTTGCCTACCTCGGCCTCCCAAAGTGCCGGGATTACAGGCACGAGCCAAGGTGTCCAGCCCATGCTCTTCTATTTGTTAGTGGAAATGACCAAAAGTATTTAATGTCACTTAACTTGTTTCAATATTTATCTTTAATCTCTGTTTATAGTAAAAAATACAGAGTTTTTGCAGCAAGCTGCTTTAGAAGAATATGGTCCAGAGCTTCATGTGGCTTTGAGAAGTCGAAGAGATGAATTACACTATTTAAGGAAACTTACGGAACTGCTTTTTCCTTATATTTTGCCTCCTAAAGCAACAGATTGCAGGTATAAAAAGACTAGATAATGTAATAGTATTTGCATGTCATGCCATATGTATATTGCTATTTTTTATTATGATAGAAGTATACTAAAACTTGAAGTTAGCCTATGAATAGCTTTTCATTTGGAAAAAACTTATTAAATTATTAATGTATAATTTATTATTTATTATGGTCTTAAAATGCCAATTTAAGTGCTATTTGTGGTGTGTTGTATTGCTTAGAATTTTTCTTTAAAACTGATCTTGGACATATGGCCCAGCACAGTGGCTCACGCCTATAATTCCAGCACTTTGGGAGGCCAAGGCAGGTGTATCACCTGCAGTTGGGAGTTTAAGACCAGCCTTACTAACATGGAGAAACCCTGTCTCTACTAAAAATACAAAATTAGCTGGGCATGGTGGTGCTTGCCTGTAATTCCAGCTACTTGGGAGGCTGTGGCAGGAGAATTGCTTGAACCTGGGAGGCGGAGGTTAAAGTGAGCCATGATCATGCCATTGCACTGGGCAACAAGAGCAAAACTCTGTCTCAAGAAAACAAACAAACTGATCTTGGACATAAAAGATAAATATGAGTAAAATTATTTTTGTTATTTTATATTTTAAAATATACATTATATTTTATTTCATGTGTTCCCCTTTAAAGATATGCACATGATAATAGGCAGACACACTTGAACAAACTGTATAGATAAGTTTGTGTTTCAAGGTATCCAGCTGGGACAAGAATTGGAGGTCACCTAGTCTTTTCTCCCTTTTTCTGGCTGGACCATGTTTAGATTATTCCATGTTACCTTGTTACTCTTACCCTAATAGCCCTTAGAGGAAACAGAGTCTCATTCTGTTGCCCAGACTGGACTGCAGTGGCATGATCTCAGCTCACTGCAACCTCCACCACCTGGTTTCAGGTTCAAGTGATTCTTCTGCCTCAGCCTCCTGAGTAGCTGGGACTACAGGCAAGCACCACCATGCCCAGTTAATTTTTGAATTTTTAATAGAAATGGGGCTTCTCCATGTTGATCCAAGCTGGTCTCGAACTCCTGACCTTGTGATCTGCCCACCTAGGCCTCCCAAAGTGCTGGGATTACAGGCATGAGTCACCGCACCTGGCAACCATGGCTTATTTTTTGTGATATGTAAAGTGATGTACTTTACATATCACTAAAATATTTATCACTAAAATATCATATCAATATATTTTAAAATAATTATTTTATTGCTAAAATATTTAGAGTGATGTGCTTTAAATATTACTTTTTGTTTCACCTTTTCATTTTGTTCTTAAAAATATTTTAATATTTTAAATTACATGATTTTTATGCTACACTAGTTTATAATAGTAAATAGGATTATAAGGTAATTACTATAATTATTTTAAGCATTAATTTAAATATATATTAAACATTTAAGTATTCTTAGAAAGTTTTTTCTTGATTTTTTTTAAAACTTTTTAAAGTTTTTTGAGATGGAATCTTGCTCTGTGGCCCAGGCTGGAGTTCAGTGATATGATCTTGGCTCTGTGAATCCTCTGCCTCCCAGGTTCAAGCAATTCTACTACCTCAGACTCCCCAGTAGCTGGGATTACAGGTGTGTGCCACCACATCCAGCTAATTTTTGTGTTTTTAGTAGAGACAGGTCACCGTGTTGACCAGGCTGGTCTAGAACTCCTGACCTCCTGATCTGCCCACCTCAGCCTCCCAAAGTGCTGGGATTACAGGTGTGAGCCACTGTGCCTGGCCGATGGAAACTATTTTCTAATGTCCCCCAAGTTCCTCCTGTTAAGGGAATACTTTTTTCTCTTAAATAATACTCTCTTTTAGCCAAGTAAGAAATCTAACTCTCTGCTATTCAGCATGTGGTCTGCAGACCAGTGGCATAAATGTTGGTTGACAGTTTGTTAGAAATGCAGTATCTTAGGTAATTCATATGCACTTGAAAGTTAAGAACTTTATAAATTACTAAATATAAACAATTATTATTATTTATTTTTTCAGATCTCTGACCTTACTTATAAGAGAGATCCTGTCTGGCTCTGTGTTCCTTCCTTCTTTGGATTTCCTAGCTGATCCAGTAAGACTTAAACATTTATTTTAATTGTTACAAAATACACTTAATAAAATTTACTATCTTAAAGATTTTTATGCATATAGTTAATGATACTGAAAACATTCATATTGTTGTGCAACCATCCCCACTCTCCATCACCAGATCTCTTCTTCTTATGAAACTGAAACTCTACACCTGTTAGCAATAACTCCTCATTCCTTCCTCCCTCCAGACGTCCTAGTAAACACCATTCTGCTTTCCGTCTCCATGAATTTGACTACTCTGGGTACCACATATAAATGGAATCATACAGTGTTAGTCTTTTTTTTTTTTTTTTTTTGAAACGGAGTTTCGCTCTTGTTACCCAGGCTGGAGTGCAATGGCGCGATCTTGGCTCACTGCAACCTCCGCCTCCTGGGTTCAGGCAATTCTCCTGCCTCAGCCTCCTGAGTAGCTGGGATTACAGGCACATGCCACCATGCCCAGCTAATTTTTGTATTTTTAGTAGAGACGGGGTTTCACCATGTTGACCAGGATGGTCTTGTTCTCTTGAGCTCGTGATCCACGCGCCTTGGCCTCCCAAAGTGCTGGGATTACAGGCTTGAGCCACCGCGCCCGGCCCAGTGTTAGTCTTTTTATGACTGGCTTATTTCACTTAGCATAATGTCTTCAAGATTCATCCATGTTGGAGTATGTGTCAGAATTTCCTTCCTTTTCAAGGCTGAGTAGTATTCTGTTGTATGTGTATAACATGTTTTATTTTCATTGATGGACACTTTGGATGTTCATCTGTTGATGGATACTTCAGATGCTTCTACCTTTGATCAAGTAAGATTTTGAAGAAACAAGAATGATTTAGAAATATTTTAAATGCCAAAATCAGAATAGCTTTTATTTGCCGATTTTCACAAACGTTAAGAAACTCTTTTGTAGATGTAAAAAAAACTCCTGCTGTAATACATATGTGCAGATTTTTTGCCACTGCTCCATTTGTTTCTTCATTTTTCTAGAAACTTTCATAATATGATACAAGTTAGGAGAATTTTGGGGAGAATGCAGTAATGGAATTTGGAATTATTTTGATTTATATTTATTATTTTCCACTAGGATACTGTGAATCATTTGCTTATCATCTTCATAGATGACAGTCCAGTAAGTATTGAATATATTAGAAAACACTTCAGATTGCATTGAATTTTGATTGTGTATGTCAAATCAGGTGGGAATTTTACGGAGTTAATAATTTTCTTTCTTTCAAAGCCTGAAAAAGCAACTGAACCGGCTTCTCCTTTGGTTCCATTCTTGCAGAAATTTGCAGAACCTAGAAATAAAAAGCCATCTGTAAGCATTTTCAGCAATAACATTTTTTTGATATAAACAATTTTAGAACTGATTTATATAGCTTAAACTTACTCTTTCTCTTATATTAAGGTGCTGAAGTTAGAATTGAAGCAAATCAGAGAGCAACAAGATCTTTTATTTCGTTTTATGAACTTTCTGAAACAAGAAGGAGCGGTACATGTGTTGCAGTTTTGTTTGACTGTGGGTGAGGCTTACCTGTATATTTTACGAAAGTAATTTTTAAACCTTTTAATGTACTTGAATATTTTAAATCATATCTGATGTTGTGGTACCCATCTATCAATGTACTACATTTCATGTACTAGATTTTCTAAGAGCGTCTGTGAGTTTCTCTCAGGTGCTCACTCCTTTCCATACTGGGAAATAATCTGTCATTGACTTTGTTCAAATCCTAGTAGCAGACAAAGAAAAAACTACTAAAAATTCAATATAAGTCCAGGTTCAGTGACTCACGCCTGTTAATCCCAGTTCTTTGGGAGGCCAAAGAGGGTGGATCACCTGAGGTTGGGAGGTCGAGACCAGCCTGGCTAATGTGGTGAAGCCTTGTCTCTACTGAAAATACAAGAATTAGCTGGGTGTGGTGGCGGGTGCCTGCAATCCCAGCTGCTCCGCAGACTGAGGCAGGAGAATCACTTGAACCTGGGAGGCAGAGTTTGTAGTGAGCCAAGATAGAGCCATTGCACTCCAGCCTGGGCGACAAGAGCGAAACTCCGTATAAAATATATACATACACACACACACACACACACACACACACACACACACACACATATATTGAACATATATCAAAGACCCAAACTGTAGCCCTTATCAATATCACTTGTTCACAATTTTTATATAGCATTGTTTTGATTAAAATATCAAGTATAAAAATGTCTGATTTTGATTATAAGCTCTCTAGCGTTATAGATTATTGGATTTACAAAAAACTTTATAAACTGAAAAGTTTATTTTTAATGCATTTAATTTCTTTTTAAAATATAACTTTAAAAAAATTGAAGTATAATTTATATAGTGAAACTCATAGAATTTAAATGTATAGTTTGATCAGTTTTACACATGTGTATGTCCATGTAACCTGCATCTTTATCAAGATGTAGAACATTTATTTCTGTCAGCCCAGAAAGTTCCCTTAGGCTCCTTCCTAAGAGGTCCACCCTTTCCACCTTCTCATGCCAAAGCAATCACTGGTCTCATTTCTCTCATCACAGATTAGTTTTGGCTGTATAATTTTTTTTTTATTATAAATGGAATCACATAACATAAACTCCTTTGTGCCTGGCTTCCTTCATTCAGGATAATGCTCTTTAAGGTTCCTATATGTTTTTGTCTAAATAAGTAGTTTGGGCCAGGCATGGTGGCTCATTCTTGTAATCCTAGCACTTCAGGAGGCTGAGGTAGGTGAATCACTAGAGGTCAGGAGTTCGAGACCAACATGGGCAAAATGGTGATCCCCTGTCTCGACAAAAATACAAAAATTAGTTGGGCGTGTTGGCTCATGCCTATAATTCCAGGTACCAGGGAGGCTGAGGCAAGAGACTCGCTTGAGCTTGGGAGGTGGAGGTTGCAGTGAGCTGAGACCATGCTACTGCACTCCATCTGGGATGACAGAGTGAGACTCTGTCTCAAAAATAGATGAATAAATATGTAGTTTTTTCTTTTCTTTTTTTTTTTTATTGCATTTTAGTTTTGGGGGTACATGTGAAGAACTTGCAAAATAGTTGCATAGGTACACACATGGCAGTGTGATTTGCTGCCTTCCTCCCCTTCACCTATATCTGGCATTTCTCCCCATGCTATCTCTCCCCAACTCCCGACACCCCACTGTCCCACCCCTATTCCCCCCAACAGACCCCAGTGTGTAGTGCTCCCCTCCCTGTGTCCATGTGTTCTTATTCAACACACACTGATGAGTGAGAACATGCGGTATTTCATTTTCTGTTCTTGTGTCAGTTTGCTGAGAATGATGTTCTCCAGGTTTATCCATGTCCCTACAAAGGACATGAATTCATCGTTTTTGATGGCTGCATAATATTCCATGGTGTATATGTGCCATATTTTCCCTGTCCAATCTATCATCGGTGGGCATTTGGGTTGATTCCAGGTCTTTGCTACTGTAAACAGTGCTGCGATGAACATTCGTGTGCATGTGTCCTTATAGTAGAACGATTTATAATCCTTTAGATATATACCCAGTAATGGAATCGCTGGGTCAAATGGAATTTCTATTTCTGGGTCCTTGAGGAATCGCCATACTGTCTTCCACAATGGTTGAACTAATTTACACTCCCACCAACAGTGTAAAAGTGTTCCTATTTCTCCACATCCTCTCCAGCATCTGTTGTCTCCAGGTTTTTTAATGATTGCCATTCTAACTGGCATGAGATGGTATCTCAATATAGTTTTGATTTGCATTTCTCTAATGAACAGTGATGATGAGCATTTTTTCATGTTTGTTGGCCTCATGTATGTCTTGTTTTGTAAAGTGTCTGTTCATATCCTTTGTCCACTTTGAATGGGCTTGTTTGTTTTTTCTTGTAAATCTGTTTTAGTTCTTTGTAGATTCTGAATATCAGCCCTTTGTCAGATGGGTAAACTGCAAAAATTTTTTCCCATTCTGTTGGTTGCCGATTCACTCTAATGACTGTTTCTTTTGCCGTGCAGAAGCTGTGGAGTTTGATTAGGTCCCATTTGTCCATTTTGGCTTTTGTTGCCAATGCTTTTGGTGTTTTGGTCGTGAAGTCCTTACCTACTCCTATGTCCTGAATGGTTTTGCCTAGATTTTCTTCTAGGGTTTTTATGGTGCCAGGTCTTATGTCTTTAATCCATCTGGAGTTAATTTTAGTGTAAGGTGTCAGGAAGGGGTCCAGTTTCTGCTTTCTGCACATGGCTAGCCAGTTTTCCCAACATCCTTTATTAAACAGGGAATCCTCTCCCCCTTGCTTGTTTTTGTCAGGTTTATCAAAGACTGTATGGTAATAGATATGTTGTGTTGCCTCTGATGCCTCTGTTCTGTTCCATTGGTCTATATCTCTGTTTTGGTACCAGTACCATGCTGTTTTGATTACTTTAGCCTTGTAGTATAGTTTGAAGTCCGGTAGTGTGATGCCTCCTGCTGTGTTCTTTTTGCTTAGAATTGACTTGGCTATGGGGGCTGTCTTTTGGTTTCATATGAAGTTTAAGGTGTTTTTTTCCAGTTCTGTGAAGAAGGTCATTGGTAGCTTGATGGGGATAGCGTTGAATCTATAAATTACTTTGGGCAATATGGCCACTTTCATGATGCTGATTCTTTCTAACCATAAACACGGAATGTTTCTCCATCTGTTTGTGCCCTCTCTTATTTCGTTGAGCAGCGGTTTGTAGTTCTCCTTGAAGAGGTCCTTTACGTTCCTTGTTAGTTGTATTCCTAGGCATTTTATTCTCTTTGTAGCAATTGTGAATGGCAGTTCATTCTTGATTTGGCTCTCTTTCAGTCTGTTGTTGGTGTATAGGAATGCTTGTGATTTTTGCATATTGATTTTGTATCCTGAGACTTTGCTGAGGTTGCTTATCAGTATCAGGAGATTTGGGGCTGAGATGATGGGATCTTCTATATATACAATCATGTCGTCTGCAAATAGAGACAATTTGACTTCCTCCTTTCCTATTTGAATACCCTTTATTTCTTTCTCTTACCTGATTGCTCTGGCTAGAACTTACAGTACTGTATTGAATAGGAGTGGTGAGAGAGGGCATCCTTGTCTAGTGCCAGATTTCAAAGGGAATGCCTCCAGTTTTTGCCCATTCATTATGATATTGGCTGTTGGTTTGTCATAAATTAGTATTTATTATTTTGAGATATGTTCCATTAGTGCCTAGTTTATTGAGGGTTTTTAGCTTAAAGGGCTGTTGAATTTTGTCAAAGGCCTTCTCTGCGTCAATTGAGATAATCATGTGTGTTTTGTTTTTGGTTCTGTTTATGTGGTGAATTAGGTTTATAGAGTTGCGTATGTTGAACCAGCCTTGCATCCCTGGGATGAATCCTACTTGATCATGGTGGGTAAGCTTTTTGATGTGCTGTTGCAATCGGCTTGCCAGTATTTTATTGAAGATTTTTGCGTCTATGTTCATCATGGATATTGGCCTGAAGTTTTCTTTTCTTGTTGAGTCTCTGCTAGGTTTTGGTATCAGGATGATGTTGGTCTCATAAAATGATTTGGGAAGGATTCCCTCTTTTTGGATTATTTGGAACAGTTCCAGAAGGAATGGTAACAGTTCCTCTTTGCATGTCTGGTAGAATTTGGCTGTGAATGCATCTGGACCTGGGCTTTTTTTGTGTGGTAGGCTCTTAATTACTGCCTCAACTTCAGATCTTGTTATTGGTCTATTCAGGGTTTCGACTTCTTCCTGGTTTAGGCTTGGGAGGACGCAAGTGTCCAGGAATTTATCCATTTCTTCCAGGTTTACTAGTTTATGTACATAGGGTTGTTTGTATTAATCTCTGATGATGGTTTGAATTTCTGTGGCATCTGTGGTGATATCCCCTTTATCATTTTTTATTGCATCTGTTTGTTTCTTCTCTCTTTTCTTTTTTATTAATCTCACTAGTGTCGTGTTTATTCTGTTGATCTTTTCGAAAAACCAGCTCCTGGATTTATTGATTTTTTTGAAGGGTTTTTGTGCCTCTTATCTTCTTCAGTTCTGCTCTGATCTTAGTTAGTTCTTGGCTTCTGCTAGGTTTTGAGTTTTTTTGATCTTGCTCCTCTACCTCCTTCAATTTTGACGATAGGGTGTCAATTTTGGATCTCTCCTTGCTTCTCATGTGGGCACTTATTGCCATATATTTTCCTCTAGAGACTGCTTTAAATGTGTCCCAGAGATTCTGGTATGCTGTGTCTTTGTTCTCGTTGGTTTTGAAGAACATCTTTATTTCTGCCTTCATTTCATTGTTTATCCAGTCAACATTCAAGAGCCAGTTCGGTTTCCATGAAACTGTGCGGTTCTGAGTTAGTTTCTGAATTCTGAGTTCTAACTTGATTGCACTGTGGTCTGAGAGACTGTTTGTTATGATTTCTGTTCTTTTGCATTTGCTGAGGAGTGATTTTACTTCCAATTATGTGGTAAGTTTTAGAGTAGGTGTGATGTGGTGCTGAGAAGAATGTATATTCTGTGGATTTGGGGTGGAAAGTTCTGTAAATGTCTATCAGGTTTGCTTGGTCCAGGTCTGAGTTCAAGTCCTGGATATCCTTGTTAATTTTCTGTCTGGTTGATTTGTCTAATATTGACAGCGGAGTGTTAAAGTCCCCCACTATTATTGTGTGGGAGTCTAAGTCTCTTTATAAGTCATTAAGAACTTGCCTTATGTATCTGGGTGCTCCTGTATTGGGTGCATATATATTTAGCATCGTTAGCTCTTCTTATTGCATTGATCTTTTTACCATTATGTAATGTCCTTCTTTGTCTCTTTTGATCTTTGTTGCTTTAAAATCTATTTTATCAGAGATGAAAATTGCAACTCCTGGTTTCTTTTGCTGTCCATTAGTTTGGTAAATCTTCCTCTATCCCTTTATTTTGAGCCTTTGTGTATCCTTGCATGTGAGATGGGTTTCCTGGATAGAGCACACCGATGGGGTTTGGCTTTTTATTCAATTTGCCCATCTGGGTTGTTTGATTGGGGCGTTTAGTCCATTTACATTTAGGGTTAATATTATTATGTGTGAATTTGATCCTGCCATTTTGATTCTAGCTGGCTGTTTTGCTCGTTAGTTGATGCAGATTCTTCGTTTTGTTTATGTTCTTTACCATTTTGTATGTTTTTGGAGTGGCTGGTACTGGTTGTTCCTTTCTATGTATACTGCCTGTTTCAGGAGCTGTCGTAAAGCAGGCCTGCTGGTGACAAAATCTCTGAGTACTTGCTTGTTCTCAAAGGATTTTATTTTTCCTTCACTTATGAAGCTTTGTTTGGCTGAATATGAAATTCTGGATTGAAAGTTCTTTTCTTTAAGGTTATTGAATATCGGCCCCTACTCTCTTCTGGCTTGTAGGGTTTCTGCTGAGAGATCCACTATGAGTCTGATGGGCTTCCCTTTGTGGGTGACCCAACCTTTCTCTCTGGCTTCCCTTAGCATTTTCTCCTTCATTTCAACCCTGGTGAATCTGATGATTATGTGCCTTGGGGTTGCTCTTCTTGAGGAGTATCTTTGTCGTTGTCTCTGTATTTCCTGGACTTGAATATTGGCCTGCCTTGCTAGGTTGCGGAAGTTTTCCTGGATAATATTCTGAAGAGTATTTTCCAGCTTTGATTAATTCTCTTCATCATATTCAGGTACACCTATCTTTGTTCCAGAATGATGCCCGCCAAATGTCAGTTTGATCAGTCCTTTTTGAGGTGACTCTTTGGACATACGGGTTCAGGAAGCTTCTTGAGGAGATAGTCTGTCCTTTATCGGAGCTCAAGTGCTGAGCTGTGCGCTCCATTGTTCAGAGCTGCTAGGCAGGTGCGTTTAAGTCTGCTCCAGCAGAACTCATAAACCCCTTTTTTTGTTCAGATGCTCTGTCCCAGGGAGTTAGGGCTTTATTTATGTGTATCCATTGTGCTGCTGCCTTTTTTTTCAGGGCTGCCCTGCCCAGCAAGGAGGCAGCCTAGTCACTGTTTTCCTGCAGAAGCTTTGCTGAGCTGCTGTGGGCTCTGTCCTGCTGCCGTGTGAACCTCCCTTCAGTCCTGTTTATATGGGTGTGGTTAGAACCGCCTCGCCAATGTTGGTCCACCTCTGTAATGGCGGACTCTCTGTCGTGCTGCCTCAGCAATGGTGGACTACCTCTATAGGGGTGGAGTGCCTCGGTAATTGCGGACGCCCCTCCCCCACAGAGCTGGATTGTCCTGGGTTCAGCTGTGCTTGCTGTGAAACTCTCAATGCAGGGGTTTTCCAATTGCTGTCTTTTTTTTTTTGTGGGGGTGGGACCTGCCTAGCCTGATCACCTGGCTCCCTGCCTCAGAGCCTTTTTTTTTTTTTTTTAAAGTTAAATGGTTGACTCTCTCCCAGGTGTTCCAGTTGCCTGCTGAAAAGGCGCCGGAATCTGTGTGATTTCCCATGCACTGACCTACTGTGCTGGCTGAAACAAAGGCACTGGCTGAAACAAAGGCGCTGCCTGGGAATCTCCAGGCCTGACTCCCTGTTTCTGTCCCCTGTTTAATCAGATGAATGGGCGACTCTGCCTTCTCGGATCTCCAATTGCCGGCTTAAAAGGGCAACCAGACCAGTGTATTTTGTTCGGAGAAGTGCCGGGGCGCCGGTGAAATAGCTGTGCCGGCCAAAATAGCCTTGCTGGCGACCCGTGGGGCTCCTTTGCCTGGGAATCTCCTGGTCTGTGGGCAATAGAGATCCATCTGGAAATGCAGCGTCCACTCACCCTCTGCGCTTTCACTGGGAGCTGCAATCTTTAGCTGCTCCTAAACTGCCATCTTGGATCTTCCTCAAGCCTCAATAAATATGTAGTTTGTTCTTTGCTGAGTGGTATTCCGTTGTATGAATACATATATCTTTTAAACTTTATTACTAGGTGCACACACATTGAAGATTGTTGTATCTTATTAATAAATTTATCCTTTTATCATTATAAAATACTTCTCTCTTGTATCTGTTATTTTCAGTCTTGAAGTCTACTTTGTCTGATGTTAATATGGCCACATCGTCTTTCTTTATACTTAAGTGTGCATTCGTATATTTTTTTCTATCTGAATGAAATGTTTAATGTATTTCTAGTAGGCAGCATGTAGCTGCTCTTGCTTTAAAAAAAAAGAAAACTAAGTTATCTTTGCTTTTTAATTGGTATCTGTAGTACATTTACACTTGATATATTTATTATATGTTTATTGTTAGGGCTTTCATCTTGGTGTTTGTTTTATATTTGTCCTGTGTATTCTTTGCTTTTTTTTTCCTCCTTTGTTGACTTCCTTAAAATTTTTTTAGTATTTTGTTTTATCTCTCCTATTGACTTTTCAAGTTTGTTCTGGCTTTTTTAAAGTTATTGATTAGAGATTATAATATGTTTCTTTCATTTATCATACAATCAATTTAAAAATATTTTACTGCTTCAGGAGCAGTGTAAGAACCTCAGTGTACCTCAGATCATCCCGTCCTGCCTAGTGTGCTCCTTTTGTTATTTATTTCAATTCTGCATGGGCTATAAACACACAGTACATTATTTCTTCATTGAATAGCCATCAGACTTCTACACGTGTGGAATGCACACACACGCATTCATTTTTAAAAGTCCTTATAATTATTGGCATATTTACTGTCCCAGTATTTTTAATTTATTTTTGCAGAACCAGGTTTCTAATACTGTTCCTTTCTGCTGAAAGAAATCTTTTTCATAGTTACTATAGTACAAATATGCTGGAGATAAATTTTCTCAGCTTTTGTCTGTCTGAAAAGATGGCATGATCATGGCTCATAAAATACAACCTCAACTTTCTGAGCTCAAATAATCCTCTTGCCTCAGCCTCCGAAGTAGCTGGGACTACAGGTGAACACCATCATGCCTGGCTAATTTCTTTGTAGAGACATAGTCTCACTATGTCGCCCAGGCTGGTCTTGAACATCTGGTCTCAGGCGATCCTCTGGCCTCAGCCTCCCAAAGTGCTGGAATTACAGGCATAAGACACCACACCTGACCTGTAATCAATTTTGAAAATTCCTGGCTCTTTTCAGATATTCTGCCCCATTTTCTCTTCTTTTGCAACTCCAGTTATATGCATATTAAGTCATATAGGAATGACAGTTGTATTCTATTGCCTCACAAATCTTATATGCTGTGTTTCAGTTTTTTTAATCCGTTTTTTCCACTTTATGTTTCAGTTTGAATGATTAAGAAGTAAAAAGTAAACTCCTTGTTATAAAACCTCGGAATAAAAAGAAAAAACAATTGGTATTTTGGCTATCCTAATACTACCATCTTTTATTTTCGAATAAACATTCATTTGTTCAAGCTGTCACTTCTGCCACTAGTTTGCAACATTCATAGTGGAGAAAAATATTGTTTACAAACATTGATTGGAACTAAAGTCATCATTTTTATTTCATAAATTAGATTTTGAAATAATAAAAGACTTGGTATCATAAATTAATCTAATATTGGTCTTTAAGGAAACTATTAGAAGTGTGTTTGGTGTTCTGAATTTTTGCAGATCTGTATTGCTTTTTGTGTATTTACATATTTTCTATTAATCTATAAAAATTGGTTGATTACATTTTTCTTAATGAGTAGTTATTTTACTCTCAAATATTTTTGAAAAACTTAGATGAATTAGATTGCTTCTGATTGCTGCTTTTAGTATTGGCTACAATTAGAATGGGACTATGAGGTTTTCATGAATAGTTTTATATTAAAATTATTTTTTCTTATTCTTTTCCTCATTTGTTAGAGGAATTTAATGATAGAATTTTACGACCAGAATTATCAAATGATGAAATGCTGTCTCTTCATGAAGAATTGCAGAAGATTTATAAAACATACTGTTTGGATGAAAGTATCGATAAAATTAGATTTGATCCCTTCATTGTAGAAGAGATTCAAAGAAGTAAGTCAAAGATGATGAGAATGAATTGTTTAGCACTTCAACAGTTTTCAGAGTTTTCCCATTTATTGTTTATTATTGCAGTGGCTACATGCAATACATGGGAAGCTATTATTCTCTTTTACTAATGAGATGAGAGCTTTGAAGAAAAAACTTATTCATACTTTACGTATTTGTCAGAACTAGACCTTGGTTGATGTAATTTCTCATTCTAGTATATTTCTTACAGTGGAGTTTCAGTAAAACAAAGTTTTAAAACTGTATGCTCTTCACTACACTGACTTTTAAAGTAACATACATTTATGCTATTTATAAATAATTTCTAAAATACAATTTTTTTAATAGTTGCTGAAGGGCCATACATAGATGTTGTGAAACTTCAAACTATGAGATGTCTTTTTGAAGCATATGAACATGTTCTTTCCCTCTTGGAGAATGTATTTACCCCTATGTTCTGCCATAGTGATGAGGTAAGTCAAACTATTCATCTTGTTTGAGAATGTTTTTTGGGGGGTGGGGGTGTGGGGACGGAGTTTCACTCTGTGGCCCAGGCTGGAGTGCAATGGCATGATCTCAGCTCACTGCAACCTCTGCCTCCTGAGTTCAAGTGATTGTCCTGCCTCTTGAGTAGCTGGGACTACAGGCATGCGCCACCATGTGCAGCTAATTTTTGTATTTTTAGTAGAGATGGGGTTTCACTATATTGGCCAGGCTGGTCTCAAACTCCTGACCTGGTGATCTGCCACCCTCTACCTCCCAAAGTGCTTGAATTACAGGCTCACTGAGCCACCGTGCCTGGACTTGTTCGAGGATTTTTATGCAGAATTTATTAGTAGCTCTGTTATCATTAGATGAGTGATTAAAATAACAAAATAAAGTAGAAAAATAAAACAAGATTGCTGAGCGTGGTGGATCATGCCTATAATCCCAGCACTTTGGTCTCCATCTCTTGACCTCGTGATCCACCTGCCTTGGCCTCCCAAAGTGCTAGGATCACAGGCCTGAGCCACCACGCCTGGCCTAATCCCAGCACTTTGGAAGGCTGAGACAGGTGAATCACTTGAGTTCAGACATTCAAGACCAACCTGGCCAACGTGATGAAACCCTGTCTCTACTAAAAATACAAAAAATTAGCTGGGTATGGTGGCACGTGCCTGTAATCTCAGTTACTCAAGAGGTTGAGGCAGGAGAATAGCTTGAATCCAAAAGGCTGAAGTTCCAGTGAGCTGAGAGCATACCACTTGAGCTCTCAGCTGTTGCACTTGAGCCTGGGCAACAGAGCAAGACTCGGTCTCAGTAAAAAACAAAACAAAACAAAACAAAAAAAACAAGATTAAGAAAGCGAATATTCTTTTCTACTGTGTAATTAAGTGAAGATTAAAAAATAATTGTAGAAATAATTATCAATACCAAAATCTGTTTGTATTTATGTGAGTAGATAGATTGGGATCAAATAGGTCTGCCTGATTTGCCGTATGCCTGAGTGGCTTTGTAGTACTGCAGTGGTGCAGAAATCTCATTGTATACACATTATTTACAAAACTGTGGCAGTCATCTGCATTTGCAGTATTTCATCCTTACCCTATTTGACCATATCTGTATTCCCTTGATTGAGATAGCTTTTTTTTTTTCCAAAACTGGAAAGTAGTAAGCTAAGGTAGCATGTTTTAATGTTAATTATAATAAATGATAATTATTATTTATTATTTTAAAGTATTTTAGACAACTTTTAAGAGGTGCAGAATCACCAACACGCAATTCAAAATTCAACAGGTAGGTTGTATGTTTTGTTTTAGAACTTGCTGATGCTAATCATTCTATGATAGCATCATTGTCTTTATTAGCTATTTTTCTGAATGAGTATGTGGTTCCATTGTTATATGAGTAGACAAGGGATTTTACTAGTGAATTGTGAAACCGTGCTATATATAGTGATCTGAAAATGCCTAAAATTCTTTTAGAAAAATTTAACAAGATATATAATGTGGCCATGTAAATCTCATAATTAATATATATTAGTTTTGTATACCTGCCTTATTGGAAACTAGGGCATGTGTAAGTGCATCCACAGATAACTCAGAATTTAGCCAGTTTTTGTTTTAGAGGAAACTTCTTGTTAGAGTGCTTACTGGGTACAAAAGTGGAGGGATGTTTCTTTCTTACTTTTTTTGGCTCTCTGGAAATCTAAGTGTATAGTTAAATGATCTAAAGAAAGGTAATAGAAGCAAAAAGCTTTATTCATTTATAAACTGGATAATGTTCTGATTTGTCTTTGCAAGGTTACATGTACAGAATTGACACACCTTCCAATAATAAAGTGTAGACATAAAATATATGAATAAATATACATTTTAAGTCACTTAATAGCAAATCACCTTTTCTAATTTTCCAAGCTTTTCTAAATTTCCAATGAAAAAATGTTAATGGCCAGGCACGGTGGCTCATACCTGTAATCCCAGCACTTTGTGAGGCTGAGGTGGGTGGATCACTTGAGGTCAGGAGTTTGAGACCAGCCTGGCCGAAACAGAAAAATTGTTTGAGCCTGGGAGATGGAGGTTGCAGTGAGCTGAGATTGCACCACTGCCCTTCAGCCTGGGTGACTCTGTCTTAAAAAAAAAAAAAAAAGAATGTTAAGAAACTCTTTTAATTTACTATATATAAGGTAAATGAATCATTTCATTTCACTTACCTTATATGTGTACAAAATTGACACAGACATCTCAACACCTTCCAATTTGAGCAAGTATCTAATAAACATACAAATAAATTGGATATATACTACAAAGAGAGAAGTAGATGAGTCAAGAAATGGGACAGTGTTTTAGATAGTTAGTACAAAGAAAAATGTGAAAACTTTACCATGAAGAGAATATATTGTATTTCTTGACATAAGTGTTACAAGAATAAATGGTTTTTTTATGACCTTTGAATATTAATTCTGATTTAATGCCTCAGTAGAGGCATTAAATATGTAGTACACATGTAATAACTTTTCCGAAAGGTAGAAAGTACCTTTAGGATTATCTGTAAAAATATCTCTTTTTTGCTTTTTCCTAAAAATTTATGTGTTATAGCCATGAAACAGACTTTATTTAACAAAAATCATATTTATGCTATTTAAAATAGCATTGTTCGCTCAGGCCACATGCCTCTTCTTGCATTTGAATGCTTTTCTAAGGAGTTTAATCAAATTTGCTGACATACTTGAGAAGCGGGTAGAATTTATCCTTTGATGTTTGGAGTCTCATACCAGGATACGGATCTAGTGAAATGCCTTTTTCTAGGACCATTTAAGGCGAAGTGATTCTGTGATCTTAAAAGCCTGCTTGGTAGCTTGCCGGGCATGGTGGCTCATGCCTGTAATCCTAGCACTTTGGGAGGCTTCGACAGGTGGATCGCTTAAGGTCAGGAGTTCGAGACCAACTTGGCCAACTTGGCGAAACTCTGTCTCTACTTAAAATACAACAATTAGTTGAGTGTGGTAGAAGACATGTGTAATCCCAGCTACATGGGAGGCTGAGGCAGGAGACTAACATGAACCCAAAGAGGCAGAGATTACAGTGAGCTGAGATTGCACCACTGCACTCCAGCCTGGGCGTAAGACGCTACCTCAATTTAAAAAAAACAAAGAAAAAAAACTAGCTTGATAGCTAAATCTAAATCAGGGTCATAACTTGGGAGATGAAAATCTTTTCTTGCTGCTTTGAGAACAATTGATTATTTTCAGCATGTTAAGGCACTGATTTTCTTGGCTTTAAAATAGATAAAAACAGGTTATATGGGTTTTTTCCATTCTGGATACTGATTATTACTTTTTAAGGTATGTTTTTCTTTATGGAAATCTGACTCTAATACTAACTATCAGTCTTGCTTCTGTGACACTTAATGATTTATTTACCTATGTCTAATGTGTTAAAAGAGTTTTTTTTAACATTATTTCATTGGAAATTTAGAATAGCTTTGTTAATTTGCTATTAAATGACTTAACATATATAAATGAATAAATATTCATATACTTTATATCTACATTTTATATTTTCAAAGTAAAATTCTAATGTATATTGTTTATTATGTTCTCTGTTTCATTGTACACTCAAAGTACAACTTTTATTTTTTAATATTTAGAGATTTTTAGTTAACTGTGCTTCTTAGCTTAAAACATATTTTTATTTATTTATTTGTTTGTTTTTCTTTAAGTTCTGGGGTATATGTGCAGATCTTGCAGGACTGTAACATAGGTATACACATGCCATGGTGGTTTGTTGCCTCCATCCCCCTGTCACCTACATTAGATAATTCTCCTAATGATATCTCTCCCCAATCTCTCCACTCCCTGCTATCCCTTCCCTAGCCCCGCATCCCCCAACAAACCCCACTGTGTGATGTTCCCCTCCCTGTGTCCATGTCTTCTCATTGTTCAACACCCACTTATGAGTGAGAACATGCAGTAAAACATTTTTTTACTCAAGCTAAAACGTGAAGCATAAGTGATTGTATCTAATATGGACACAAATTTCATGTTGGAAAACATGAGGTTTCTTTTTTGTGTGTGCCAGGTGTTTGGTGACTCAGTCTCTTTATAGTTTCTACTGTGTGAAAGAAATGGAATGCCTAAGGACAGAGAAAAGATAGATTTACTTCTGGGTATTTAATTTCTAAGAACATTTTTTTAATAATGCAGAAAAAAGTTTTTCCTAACATACCTAATTTTTTTCCATGTCACCCAAGATTATAACATATTTAATTTTTAAGAACCGTTCTTAGTATATAAACTTCCAAACACAAAAGACAATTATGTGCATTTATTTCTCTTACCTTTATCACCTTATTCATGAGGATTTCTTCTCTTTGCAAAGATGAATGTTATACACTTGTGTAACTTCTGAAGCTTTTTAACTTTGTTTTGTGTTCTGAATTGAAGTTTATATAATATCTGGGCTTTCTTTCTCTCCTCTTTTTATATAATTTCACATATCTGTTATTGCAGAGGTAGCCTAAGTTTGGATGATTTTCGGTAAGTGTTGAGCATGTGATTCTTTTCAGTATTAAATGTTTTTAGAAAGTACATTATGAACAACCTCATACAAATAAAAATAAAATGAAACACTGTGGTATTAACTGCCATTATATCCTAGTTATTTAGGACAATCTTTTAAAATGAATACCTACTTTGATTCTAGATATCTCCTTTTTGATATAGCATGATATGTCATTATAAAATGAAAATGTCCTGATACTTTAAAGATATTTTCATTATTTAATTTGCCAGTATCTTGTTTTTTAAGGCTGACTCATTTTTGTTCTTCTTGTTGATTTTTCTAAATTAGTTTTAGAATTATTTATGTTTAAATAACTTCTTTTTAGTAAGAAGTATAATGATGTTTTTGTATTTCTGGGCATAATCACAAGTGAGAGTTTTAAAATTTCATATTTCAACAACCCCCATTGTTTTATAATTTCCATGTTGTAGAGACTAGAATAAATTATCTAGATTCTAGAGATTTTAAAAATATTTTGTTAACGTTTTTGTGTTTTGGGAAGCATTTTTTTAAATCAAGGACAATTGTGTCTACAATTCTGGATTTTAAAAATCCTAATTGTATGTTTTTAAAAGTAGAATAATCTGGTTTAAGTACCCCTTTTACTGCTTACTGCTTATTATTAGTGTTTTTCCAGTTTTTTTAGAAGTGTGATTTACTTCTTGGACATGTGTAAAATACACATTACTGCATATTGGTATATTTAAAACTTCAAAAAAAACTTCGTTAATTTTCTTTCTTAAATTGTATTATTTCAGTAGATAATTTAAATTTTCCTCATAGGAGTAATAGCTATACACTTGAGGATTTAAAACTGGAGTGCAGTGGTGCATTCTCAGCTTACTCTAACCTCTGCCTCCCATGTCCCAGTGATTCTCCTCCGTCAGCCTTCCTGGTAGCTGGGATGACAGGTGCCCACCTCCATGCCCCGCTAATTTTTGTATTTTTAGTAGAGACAGGGTTTCGCCATGTTGGCCAGGCTGGTCTTGAACTCCTGACCTCAGGAGATCTGCCTGCCTTGGACTTGCAAAGTGATGGTGTTACAGGTGTGAGCCACTGTGCCCAGCCTTGAGCATGACTTTCAAATTGGATAAAAGTTTTGGTTTTAATTGCTGAAACATTGGGCAGTAGGCTAACAGACATTTTTGTTACTTTTAGCTTATTTATTTTGTTGCTTTCCAACTATTTCTGCTTTCAGAAATTCACCTTTAAAAAAATTGCAAAACTAACATTTAATATTTATGGCAGAGCAGACTGCTTCCTAGGGCTACATTTGCTTTTATCCCTATTCTCATTGCTAACCTTTCTCTTTGGCACTATTCTTTTTCTTACTTTGAAGTTAAATAATTTAAGATCCATTTTGTACCTCATGCCTTTTCTGAGTATTGTATGATTATACAGTTGAATTTTGCTTGAATGTTTGTCAGTCATAGACATTTTTTTTAAAAATTTCCATTTGAAAATGAAGCACTGAGAAAGTAATAGCTTAATTTTTTTTTCTGTTGCACTATTTTAGTACAGTTACTCTAAAGGGATGTTTTCAGTTTTGAACAGATCTTAGGCATTTTTGTATCTATTTCAAAATATCACAGTAAGAACTATATTCCACTAGGGGGCTCTCATCATTTAAAAATTTTAATCCCATTAATATTTTGAAGTTAATACTAGGTAAATTTTGAGTGTTTATAAAAATATATTGTCCCATTTATTCATAGACCAAATTTAAACTTTAAATACTGTGTCATTTTTGGCTTCTGACTTGTTGATATTTAATCCACGGATGAAAACTCCAGAACTTATGTGAGCTATACCTTTAGTTTACATTTTTAAAACTATTTTTCTTTTTTTAAAATAATGGTTTACAATAAACTAGACTGTTGTGATGATTTGCTATGTACTTGATACATTTTTGTTTAATATTCAGGAACACACAGAAAAGGGGAGAATCATTTGGAATCAGCAGAATAGGTAGCAAAATTAAAGGAGTATTCAAAAGTACCACAATGGAGGGAGCTATGTTGCCTAATTATGGTTTAGCTGAAGGTGAAGATGATTTTGTAAGTAAAAATGTATCACTTTGATTTGCATATAACTTTAGACTTACTATAACATAAAAAAAATTAGATACACTCATTGTTTTCCTTTTGTTTTTGGAGAATCTGCATTCTGTTTAATACTTTCCCTCTATCTTACTTCAGACTTCCTTTGTATTTCTCATTCCAGTTATGATAGTTTCATGATGTGAATCTAATTTTTAAAATTCCTGAGAACTATGTTATTGCTTATTAAGGCAGAATGGTTTCTGTTAAGCTGAGGTATTTCTAGTAGTCAAACAGTTTACCATCTTTTGGTTAAGCTTCAAATTCTGATGTTACCTTTTTCCCACCGTATGTTCAAGGTATACAGAGCTGTTAATAGATGCTCTAACTCCTTGCTACTTATGTGGTCTGTGGGCAAGCAGCAGTGGCATTACCTGGGAGCTTGTGTAAATACAGAATCTCAGGCCCTATTCTAGACTTACTGAATCAATTTGCATTTTAATAAGATTTCTAGTTGACTTATATGTACATTTTATTTGCCATGCTGTTTTATTTCTCTGTATCTTTGTCCTGCTTAAAATGCCCTTCCTTCATTTATTGACCTGGAAAATTCGTCTGCATCCTTCAGAATGCTGCTGTTCCCCATAAACCTTTATGTGAATCCCTGAGTTGAACTGAACATTTTCTCCTTTTGTGTCTCTATTGTATCATATGTTAAAGCTTGTACCGTAGTGTATTTCAAGTTATATGTTTATGATTGTCTTTTCTATCACATAGTTCCATAAAGGCAAGTATTGTCTTATTTGTACTTTTCATTTTTATTGAATAGAGATCTTGGATTCTCATTGGCCTTTTAATGACCCTGGGCACTGGGGATGAAAAAATGATTACATGTAGACCTCGGCCTTAAGAAATCCACTAACTCAGGTGTAAAAGGGATGCTTAGTACTGATTGGATTGATTATGACCAAGAAGGAGGAAAGGTGGGGAGACAGGAGTAAACCCTTTTCTTTACCCCATCCTTTTGACCTTTGTTTCATTGCCTTGATCAATTACTAAGGGTAACTGATTCTTCATAATAATTTAAATGGAAGAAAATATTATTTAAGACCTTTTTTATTAATCCAAATGCAGCAATTTTTTATGCCTTTATTTTTCCCTGTAAGTGTGGGTAGTATTTTTGTGCAGGGTTTGGTGGCTCACATCTGTAATCTGAGTATTTTGGGAAGCTGAGGCAGGAGGATTGCTTGAGCCAAGGAGTTCAAGACCAGCTTGGACAACATGGTGAGACCCTGTCTTTACAAAAAACTACAAAATAAGCTGAGCATGATGGTGCACAGCTGTAGTCCTAACTACTTGGGAGGATCACCTCACCTCAGGAGGTTAAGGCTGCAGTGAACTGTGTTTGTGTCACTGCACTTCAGCCTGGTTAACAGAGTGAGAGCCTGTCTCAAAAAAAAAAAAAAAAGAAAAAGAAAAATGTGTGGGTAGAAGAAAGTAAAAAAAGTCTTTTTCAAAATAATGTTTATGTTTTCTAATTTTAAGCATATTGTTTTCTTTCTTTCTTTCTTTTTTTTTTTTGAGACAGAGGCTCGCTCTGTTGCCAGACGCCAGGCTGGAGTACAGTGGCATGATCTCGGCTCACTGCAACCTCCGCTTCCCTGGTTCAAGCATTTCTCCTGCCTCAGCCTCACAAGTGGCTGGGACTACAGACGCACACCACCACGCCCAGCTAATTTTTATATTTTAGTAGAGATGGGGTTTCACTATGTTGGCCAGGATGGTCTCGATCTCTTGACCTTGTGATCTGCCTGCCTCGGCCTCCCAAAGTGATGGGATTACAGGTGTGAGCCACCGCGCCCAGTTTGCTAATAATATAGAACAGTGGGAAAAAATTTAAATGCCACTTAACACCCATAATCTTACCACCCAGTAACCACTTCTATTTATAGTTTGGTGATTTTCTTAAAAAAAAAAAAAAAAAAATCTCCCAAACATAAAAACCTTTTCCTTTTCACTAGACTACATTATAATTTGCTATCCTTTCTCCCTATTTGATATTATAGCAAAAGTATTTACTTGTGTTATCCTAAACTTTTAAAACATATTTTTTATGGAGGAAGGTGTATTTTGCCTTCCCAATTGCTTGATACACAGGCTGTATTTCAGCTTCAGTAATAGGAGGATATCGTTAAAATGCTGAGAGAGTTTGCTCTGTTTTGTAGTGACCCAAGGAAGAAGGAAATTCTTGATTGGGAGTAAAGACAATAGTAACAGAAAGTTGGAGAAGCAGGCAAACTAATGTTTAATACTATCAAAGGAAAATACAGGGACAGTAAGGTGCTGACCCAGACTAAGAGGATGCCATTTAGGATTTAGAAGACACTGTGCTAGTTCCAAGCTGGGGGTCCTGGGGGAATCTGCTTTGTCTTGTTTAGGAAGTTGAGGGAAAAGAGAAGTTGCCCGTTTCACTGCCAGGAGTAAAGTGGTCTGTGATCCTAAATTGGAGACATTTAGGATGTCTTATTAGAGAATAGAAGACATTAACTTTCAGAAACCTTGTTGTGTCATTTGGCCGCAGTGCCTACTTGCTTAGTGATCTTGGTATGTTGGTTAATTTTATTGTGATTTTGTTTTGTCACCTTGAAATGGAGATAATACTATTTATCTTACATAGAGATGTTATAAGTATTAACCAAGTAATATATATGAAGCACTGAGAACAGTGCCTTGCACATCAATTCTGTAAGCACATCAATTCTCATAGCTGTATGACTACAAGTTGTGAATTAAATTAGCATCCATCCATATGCTGTCCTGTGATCCAAAGCCTGGTAAATAAGATTGGGTTGGAGCTGGGTTTGGTGGCTCACACTGGTAATCCCAGCACTTTGGGAGGCTGAGGCTGGAGAATCACTTGAGTTCAGGAGTTTGAGACCAGCCTGGCCAACATGGTGAAATCCTGTCTGTATAAACACAGAAAAATTAGCTGGTTCTGGTAGTGTGTGCCCATAGTCCCAGCTACTCAGGAGACTGATAAAGGAGGGTTGCTTGAGCCCAGGAGGAGGTTGCAGTGAACCTGGCAACCTAGTGAGACCCTGTCTCAACAACAAAAAAAAAATTGGGTTGATATATCAGAAAATGCATTTCTGTCTTAAGTTCAGAAATATGGCTTACAAATATAGTTACAAAATATAATATGCCTGCACATATTATACAGAGATATATACAGAGGTAACTCCCAAGTTAACCTCTGTATAGGAAAAGAATAATCAGAAATACTAACATTTCTTAAGGAAATAGAAGGACATTTAACCTTTTATCTCCACCTTCCATAATCACCATCCTCTTGATAGAAAGAACAGCTGTTTGGAAACGAAAAGTATTTAAAGTACTTGGTTTTCCCTTATTAACATTTTGATTACAATGTTTACTTATTTTCAAATAGCATTAAAGGATGCCCGGAAAGTTCTTAGAGAAATTATTTCCCTAGAGATTTTTCTTTAGACTTTGTTGATAAAAATACCATTTAAGTAGTAACAGTAATAAATTACTAAACTTTGTCCTTTTTCATTGCCAAGAATTTTGTTCTCCCATTTTGTTTCTTTGATTCTGAGGAGCTTCTTTTAATTTAAGAATGTCTTTTTTTGGGCCAGGCGCGGTGGCTCAAGCCTGTAATCCCAGCACTTTGGGAGGCCAAGGCGGGTGAATCATGAGGTCAAGAGATCGAGACCATTCTGGTCAACATGGTGAAACCCCATCTCTACTAAAAATACAAAAAATTAGCTGGGCACGGTGGCACGTGCCTGTAATCCCAGCTACTCAGGAGGCTGAGGCAGGAGAATTGCCTGAACCCAGGAGGTGGAGGTTGTGGTGAGCTGAGATCGTGCCATTGCACTCCAGCCTGGGTAACAAGAGCGAAACTGTCTCAAAAAAAAAAAAAGAATGTCTTTTTTTTTTCTTCTGGCTTTTAGTCAGCATTTTCAACAAATTCTCTATCATTTTATGATTCAATTTCTCTTCTCCTCAGAAGCCAGATCCATTAACAAAAATACACTTGTTGTAACCATGGAAGATGCTACCTTAAACCTCAAGTATTAAGCGTTGGGTGTTTCCCTCATATATCTCCGTTTCTTCCAAGATTATAAGGAGATAATCTTGCCTCTTAGAAGGCAAAACCCAACATCTGTCATCTATTTTTATAGTTTTGTTTCTTAAGGTCTTCAAGTTGTTTTCAACAGAGCATTAAGAAGTCTTCTAAGATCAGTAAGAATCTTATTAGAGATTAAGGAAAGCCAATTTAGGATGAGAACAGAAAAAGCAAAGGAAGTTTGTGGGGGAGGAAAGGTATTTCCTTAGAAGAGAGGTGGGTACCAAGGTTAAGAGGAAAGAACTGAGAGTGAACGTAGGGTTAGAATTATGGAAATAAATTCCTCTGTACTACTGGTTTGCTCTGACTAGGCTACTCAGACTTCTCTTAAGTGCTGCAAACTTTGACTCATTGCTTTTAAAAAGGTGTGTTCAAGATGAATGCGTTTTATTTATAATATTTTGTCCTTTTAAACATGAATAAGAGATGTCTAGGTGAATCGATGTTTATAATATGCCAGATTCAAAGGTGCTCTTCCAATTTAAAAAATAGAGACAGTTGTTTCCTTCTTCCTGTGTATCTATTTCTAGAACATGTAGTTTTGTTTTTTAAAACAATTGTTACTTTATTTTTTTGGTATTTGAAAATAGTTAGCATTTGAACATTTATGTTAAAGTTTTAGATTGATGAAACAGAAAAACTCTTAATTCTGTAGAGGTGGGTTTTATTCCGACCTTTTTTCCAATTTTATGTTACTTACTGCTACAGTTTTTACTTAGGTCGCTTTTATATTTAAAAAATTTTTTTGGAGTAAATATTTTTATTGCAATAAATTTTCAAAAATGGAATTACTTGTTTGAAATCATTATTTGACTCTTTATAGATACATATTGCCAAAACACTTTCCAGAAGGGTTGTGCTGGTATACCTTGTAACCAGCAGTGTGTCACAGATCTAGTTTATTTGTGCAGTCTCCATCAATGACTGTTGTCATTTATAAAATTTTACTTTTCAAAATGAAAAATACCAGTACCTTAATTTTTATTTCTTATCACAAAGGTTGAACATTTTCTGTATTTGTGTGTTTTACATTTTTTTTTCATAATCTCTAAGGTATTTATTCTTTATCTTCTATGATATTTTCTTTCTTTCTTTTTTTTTTTTGAGACAGGGTCTTCCTCTGTCACCCCGGATGTAGTACAGTGGCACAAACTTGGCTCACTGCAGTCCCAGCCTCCTGGACTCAAGTGATGCTCCCACCTCAGCCTCCTGAGTAGCTGGGACTACAGAGGCACACCACCATGCTGAACTAAATTTTCACAAATATTTTGTAGCAGCAAGGTCTCACTGTGTTTCCCAGGCTAGTCTCAAACTTCTGGGCCAAGCATTCCTCCCACCTTAGCCTCTGCAAGTGTTGGGATTATAGACGCTGTCCCTGGCCTATTTTATTTTCATATACAGATGATACAACAAAACTTAGAGTTGTTGCTAGTAACTTAGTTTTTAACTTTTTGTCTTTATTTTTTCAGTAGAAAATTTAATATTACCTAGCTTTCAGAGTCTTAAAAAATTATCACTTAATATGGGCATATTACTTTTTACTTGTATCTCATATGCTATATTCTAAAGGTATTCGGAATATTAAATTTATCCCATTAATTTTTTTTCCAGATTGAAGAAGGTATTGTTGTAATGGAAGACGATTCTCCAGTGGAGGCTGTGAGCACACCTAATACTCCCCGAAACCTTGCTGCATGGAAAATTAGCATTCCATATGTAGACTTTTTTGAGGATCCCTCCTCTGAAAGGAAGGAGAAAAAAGAGAGAATTCCTGTGTTTTGTATTGATGTTGAAAGAAATGATAGAAGAGCAGGTAGGAAGCTTTCTGAACACCTTTCTTAAAAGATGCCCACGAATGAGTATTGTTTTCAGGTATGATAAACATTTTGCCACTTCAGTCTAACAAATATAGCTGCATATCCAAAAGAGAGTGTCCAAAACAGAAAATTGAAAGAAGGCTTAGGATGTCCCAGGTTATCTTTGTTAGCAGTTAACTAACTCATTCAGTCAACGTTTATTGAGTGAAGCCTGCTAGACACCTGACAGTCCATCAGGCATTTAATGTAATGTTCTTTTAATGGTTTTGTTGCCATCATTAGCCATTATACTTACTTAATTATCATTAACCCATTCAGCACTGTATCAGGTATTATATTAGTTTAATTAAGGCAGTATTTTCTCTCACCCATTTTGTGGGCTAATTAGAATTGATGATATGGCCAGGCGTGGTGGCTCACTCCTGTATTCCCAGCACTTTGAGAGTCCAAGGCGGGTGGATTACCTGAGGTCAGCCTGACCAACATGGTGAAACCCACATCTACTAAAAATACAAAACTTAGCCATGCATGGTGGTGTGTGCTGTAGTTCCAACTACTCAGGAGGTTGAGGCATGAAGATCACTTGAACCCAGGAGGCGGAGGTTGCAGTGAGCCAGGATCTCGTGACTGCTCTCCAGCCTTGGAGAGAGAGTGAAACCCTATCTCAAAAAAAAAAAAAAAGAACTGATGAAAGTATGGTTAAAACTTTACAAGTTTTCTTCATGTTTAGCCATATTTTTTCTTTTGATTATTTCAGGTATAGACTGTAGAAGAGATAAGGGTTAACGGTGTCTGTAGCAGGATAAAGTCACCACTTTCAAGTCTTGTAACTTCATAAAAAGAAATCAAATTAAAAAATAAAACAGTCACCACTTTGCAGTTTGTCCAAGAAGTGGGTCAGTCAATGTAGGGAAAAGCACAAAGTCATATATATTTTGAGAATGATGAGCAGAAAATAAAGTTGAGCTCAGAAAGAGGGAGTTATTAGGAAAGAAGGAAGAAAGTGACAATGTTAGAAAATGGTTTTGAGAGGATAACTTAGTGGTGTAGTGTGAAGATCAGTGCTAATTATTATTTATTTTTCAAAAAGTATTAGGTTTTCTGATTTTCTTCAAAAGCTGATCCTGTTTCAAGAAGATGAGACACAGGGATTGGGAAGGAAGAATGCCCAGAGTAGCTAGTTATAATTTTTCCTATCATACCTAAACACCAGGCAGAGTCTTACTCTGTCCAGGTCTTAGGCCATACTGCCTGATTTTGTTGGAGTTGCTGTTTAGTCTTAGTAGTTGGTGTTCTCTCAGCATTCTGACAGGTGGACAGCCAAACCATTGTCAATAATAAGAGTCTGATTTCTGTTTCAAACTTAGTTTTGTTTGGAATATACTTTCGGTTTTTTCTTTATGACAACTGCCTTTAATTTTTATGCTTTATTTTAAAAGGTTAATAATTTATGTCTCAGTAACTTAAAAATAAAACCCCAAAAATCTTAAAACTTGTATTTTATTTTTTAATTTAATTTTTTTTCTTTTTGAGAGAGAGTCTTGCTTTGTTGCCCATGCTGGTGTGCAGTGGCATGACTGTGGCTCACTACAGCCTCAACTTCCTGGGCTCAAGTGATCCTCCCGACTAAGTCTCCTGAGTAGCTGGGACTATAGGTGCATGTCACCACACACAGCTAATTTAAAAAAATTTTTTTGTAAAGGCAGGGTTTCAGTGGGTTGCTAAGGCTGGTCTGAACTTTTGAGCTCAAAGCGGTCTTCCCACTGTGACCTCCCAAAGTACTGGGATTTCAGGTGTGAGCCACTGTGCCGGGCCAAAAGCTTGTATTTTAAAGATAATGTTTGTCAACAGTGCTGCAGACTTCTACTGTCAATGTAATGTGCGCTTAGAAACCATGATCTATGGGGGAGAGAAAAGTATATCATTTACTATGTTGATTTTATATGGATAACAAAATAACAATTTCAGCATTAAAAACCTAACCTAAATATACTATGGATCTTTTAAGACCAGTGTTGAAGAAAACTAGGATTCGTTTTATATGTTATGATCAGGTTGGTTTTTTCTAAATAGAAGTACTGTTTTTGATGGTTGTGGTATTGATTGACTTGATCATCTAACACATGATGTTAGATGTTAACAATAACAATTAACATTTATAAGGTATGTACTCTGTGCTATGCACTGTACAAAAGTACTTTATGTAGATTATTTTATGTAATAGACACAGTTATTTTTATTCTACATCTAAGTATTGTAAGGTACGGTGGTATTATTTGTTTAAGACTGCATAGTAAATGGGGGCAGGGTTAACTGGGATTAGAGTAGGCAGTCTGATTCCAGACTCACTCTTGAAACCATTACTATGTGCTGCCCAATTTGGTAGCCAATAACTGCATGTGGTAATTAAAATCAAATTAAATTGTATTAAAATTTCAGTTCTTCAGTTGCAATAGCTACATTTCAAGTACTCAGTGACAACATGTGGCTAGTGGCTGCTGTTTTAATGCAGATCCGTGGAGCATCTTCAGAATTGCAGACTTCTATTAGATAGTACTGTTCTGTACTATGTTAAATTAGGATAGCATGGTAAATATTTGAGAGACCCAAAATCAATAAAAAATATTTTCATGAAATACATCATTCCAGTGACATTTAAAAAATAATCATAATTGCATGATATTTTAAAGTTTCTGTCAGCTCTGATTCTGTATAGAAAAAGTATATTTTCTTGAGATAACTTCATAAATAGATAAAATTTGTTAATCACTTCTAGGTAACTAAAATACGGGATAAAATTTGTTAATAATGTTAGGCCAAAAATAACAAATTATGACTGTGGAATAATTTCCAGTTTTTTATTCTTTTTTATTTATTTTTTTTTTGAGACGGAGTTTCGCTCTTGTTACCTAGGCTGTAGTGCAATGGCGTGATCTCGGCTCACCGCAACCTCTGCCTCCTGGGTTCAGGCAATTCTCCTGCCTCAGCCTCCCAAGTAGCTGGGATTACAGGCACGCGCCACCACACCCAGCTAATTTTTGTATTTTTAGTAGAGATGGGGTTTCACCATGTTGACCAGAATGGTCTCAATCTCTTGACCTCGTGATCCACCTGCCTCCGCCTCCCAAAGTGCTGGGATTACAGGTGTGAGCCACCGTGCCCGGCTCTTTTTTTTTTGAGACAGAGTCTCACTCTGTTGCCCAGGCTGGAGTGCAAAGATGCAGTCTTGGCTCACTGCAACCTCTGCCTCCCAAGTTCAAGCGATTCTCCTGCCTGAGGCTCCTGAGTACCTGGGACTACAGACACCCGCCACCATGCCTGGCTAATTTGTATATTTTTAGTAGAGGCAGGGTTTCACCATATTGACCAGGCTGGTCTCGAATTCCTGACCTCAAATGATCCACCCACCTCAGTCTCCCAAAGTTCTGGAATTATAGGCACGAGTCACTGTGCCCAGCCAGCTTTGTATTCTTAATGTTTTAAATATGGCATTCTCTTAGGGTGTTAAAATTATTTGTTACTCAGTGCGTGTTTACTCAATTTGCAGTTGGACACGAGCCTGAACACTGGTCTGTCTATAGAAGATACCTTGAATTCTATGTACTTGAATCAAAATTAACAGAATTTCATGGTATGTTATTCTTTCTGGATAAAACATTACATTTCAGCATTACTATTCTTTAAAGCTATGATACCAGATTAATTTATTTTAAATAATTATACCAAAGAAATACAACAGTGGCGCTGTGTACTCTTTTATTGATAGCAGAAGTGTACTGTTTATCTTTTTATTTTTACTTATCTCTGTATTTAAAGTTCTTGCAGTGCACATTTATGCTTTTTTAATAATAAAATAAAAATAGCTATTTTAAAACTGTATTTTAGAAAGGGTTTTCTATTTACTCTTTTGTTCTTCCTGTCTCATCAATTTATTTATTTTGGTTAATGTCAGGGATATAGTTATAAACAATTTCCAGCTTTTTTTTTTTTTTTGTAGCTTGGTGAGTTTTACCTGTGTGTTCTAAATCTTTTTATTTTAGAAAAGCTCTGTAGAGTGTCCCTTGATCCAAATTCAGGTTGATTTTGAATTGAGAAGAGTAAGGAACATTCCTTTCCCTGCTATAAGAACAAAGCCTGTGATAAGGATGATTATTATAGGAAAATAAAGGTCTCACTCCATATTTGTGCCTAGATTTTGGGTTTGTATGTGTATTGAAATGGTTTTTTTCTTTCTCTCTACCAATCTGGTGCAGTACCATCCTTGTTTTTTCTCTGAAAACTTTTTTCGTTTAAGTCTGAGAGTTTTCTCTGAAAACTTTTTTTGTTTTACTTTTCTTTTTTGTTACTAAAATCTCTAAAGCCAGTCCTATCTGAGAAAGTACATTCATAGTTTTTACATTTTTTTTTTCTTTCTTCTTTTTTGTTTGAGATGGAGTTTTGCTCTGTCACCCAGGCTGGAGTGCAGTGGCGCGATCTCGGCTCACAGCAATCTCTGCCTCCAAGGTTCCAGTGATTCTCTCACCTTAGCCTCCTAAGTAGCTGGGATTACAGACATATGCCACCATGCCTGGCTAATTATTTTGTATTTTTAGTGGAGATGGGTTTTCATCATGTTGGTCTCAAACTCCTAACCTCAAGTGATCTGCTCACCCTGGCCTCCCAAAGTGCTGAGATTATAGGTGTGAGCCACTGCACCTAGCTTACATTTTGATTTCAAGCTATTTATGTAGCATTTACAAAATGCTCTTTTTTCCCTATGAGAAATTAGTTACTTCTTTAGTAAGGTTTTATCTAATATATCTCGCCAATTTCAAAACAATCTCATAATAATTTTTGAAGCTGTTTTACTAGTATAGAAAGCTAAAAAAATCTATGTCAAACCATGGTTGTTACAAGTGATATTTTGTTTATCAGTAGACTCAAGCTCTTTCGTCTGGACTTCTGACTTGAAGTTCTCTGATTTTGTGAAGATTATTCAAAGAATAATGTCACATCTCTACAAGGCAGTGTTGTTAATCTGAAAGTGCCATAGTAAATGTTAAAACCTATTTTAAGGTTTTAAAAATAATAGCAGAACACAGCAATAACTTTAATATGTACTAATTTCAGGTACATTTCCTGATGCCCAGCTTCCTTCTAAGAGGATTATTGGACCCAAAAATTATGAATTCTTAAAGTCAAAGAGGGAAGAGTTCCAGGAATATCTACAGGTAGAGCATCAACTGTATTAATTCCAAAAGTTGCTAATTATAGCATTCTTTAATTTGTCTCTTTTTCTCTTGTACATTTGTGCTTTGCTCTATAAATACCTGTCCATGTGGATTTTAGTTAAAAAAATTTCCATGTGAATTTTAGAATGAATTTTTGTTGAGAGTATAATTACTTCCACCCGTCTTCTCTCCCCGCACCCTACCCCCCGCCCCCGCAAAATGAGTAAAATATAAGATATTTTCTTAGGGGAAGAAAAATCTTCTTTTTTTTTTTTTAGACTGAGTCTCACTCTGTCACCCAGGCTAGAGTGCTGTGGCATGATCTAGGCTCACTGCAACCTCCACCTCCTGGGTTCAAGTGATTCTTCTGCCTCAGCCTCCCTAGTAGCTGGGATTACATGTATACACCACCACACCTGGCTAATTTTTGTATTTTTAGTAGAGATGGAGTTTCATTGTGTTGGCCAGGCTGGTCTTGAACTCCTGACCTCATGGTCCACCTTCCTTTGCCTCCCAAAGTTCCGGGATTACACGTGTGAGGTACCGCACCCAGTCCAGAAAAATCTTTACTTAGTTTTAGGCTGATTAAAACTTCGTATAGGACGTTAAAAAATAAACATTTGATGTAAAAGATTAGATGCATTTGAAGAATACCTGATAATATTCTTAGAATATTTGTTGTTGTTTTTTCTGTTTTCTGTTTGATTTTGTGTTTAGCATATTCTGAACTTTGAAGTACCTTTTCTTTTGGGTTCATAGATGTTTTTCCAATTTCCTGGGATCAACTCTACTATTTGCTACATGGAATTGAATTCCATTTTTCCATAGTGTTATGTGTGCACATAACATTACATTAAAATATAATTGGTATATTATTTCAATATCTGGTACAGTCGGTGTAAAAGTTACTTGAGACATCAGGCTCTCCAAGATTAATAACCGTCTTTCTTTATCAAGTGCTTATAAGAGAGGATACTTTTATTTGTTTAAAAAATATTTTTTTTGGGCATGGAATTTTATATGTTTAAAAAATTGTTAATTCAGTCAAATTTGGATGCTTCCTACCCTAAAAGAAATACTTTTAAATTAAAAATACTCAGCAGCGTAAAGGAGTATTTACACTTTATTTCCTCTCTCTGAACTGTTGAATGCTTTCAATTCCAGGTTGAAAAAATAGATCTATATTTTCCATATACATTTTTTGGTGATGTGAAAATTGAAATATGAAATAATAATTAACTACTGCAAGGATGTTTAAATAAAACATAAAACAAACATGTCTTGTTGATACTGTTAATCCATTATTTGAACCAGCTAATTATTTCTACAAACTAGAGTACTTCACTGTACAAGAAATATTTTCTGTTAATATGGATTTAAGTTAGAGATTGCTGTACTGGTTTTTAAATGTAGATTTCTATTTATGTTTTGTTAGTATTTCACAGTTAGAAAACTAATAGGTTAAGACTGGGTTAATTTGGGCTTTTAAGTCATTTTTTTTTTTTTTTTTGAGATGGAATTTCGCTCTTGTTATCCAGGCTGGAGTTCAAGTGATTCTCCTTCCTCAGCCTCCCAGGTAGCTGGGATTACAGGCTATCACCACCGGCCAAGTTTTGTATTTTTAGTAGAGATGGGATTTTGCCATGTTGGTTAGGCTGGTGTCGAACTCCCAACCTCAGGTGATCCACCCACCTCGGCCTCTAAAGTGATAGGACTACAGGCATGAGCCGCTGCGCCTGGCCCATTTTATCCTATTAGAAAATAGTGTTGCAGAAAAACAGACAAGAGGTTTTTAAAGTTATTTCACATTTCCACATCTAGTTTTCTGCAAGACCCTTTATGCTGACTTTTTAAAATTATTTAGAAAGTCATATCATGCTATCGTACTCATTTTATAGTTGAGAAACTGGGAAATAATAGTAGCTTATGTTTAGTTTTACTTCCTGTGTGTCCAATACTGTGCTAAATGCTTTATATAACAACACTATAAAGTTGGTAGTGTCATTATTCTTATTTTATAGGTGAGGAAACAACTGACTCTTGGGCAATTTAGAAACTTTTCTAGTGTCACTTAGCTAGCATGTGGAAGAGCCAGAATTCAAACTCATTCATGTCTGACTGTAAAGGCCAAGGTCTTACCTACTATCCTATACTCTTCTTTCTAAAAATGCAATTGCTTTGTTATTATTTTAAATATAAAGTAGCTTTTGGGGATAAAAATAAAATTAAAAAACATTTAAATGCACTTTTGATTAGTCTTCTAGATTTCTAAACTGTTTTTCCCCCTTTTTTTGTTCATTCAAGAAACTTCTGCAGCATCCAGAACTGAGTAATAGTCAACTTCTGGCAGACTTTCTTTCCCCTAATGGTGGGGAAACACAGTTTCATGATAAGATACTACCAGATGTAAATCTTGGTAAGTCAATTTAAGGAATCATTATAAGAGAATAAGCTGAAAAGAATCAGCATTTTCAAATTAATTTAGAAAAATAGTTTATAGGATAGTCTGTGGTGAACCCCAAGGGCTCTTATTTCTGCGTTTAGAGGTAGATTGACCTTACTCTGTCCATTCTGAGTTCTGATTATTTAAGCAGTCACTTCTAGCCATATGTCCTCATCACAGAAAATAATATTAGTCAATATATTTATAAATTTATTTTCTTAAATTTAAATATAAGAAAAGTAGAGATGGTGTTTTTAGCATATGTGAATCAGTGTTTTCAGCATACAGTATATGAATGGCTATGGTATTTGAAATGTCTCATTAAATGTCTCAAAAAGACTAGCTCTGTTGGCATTTGACTTAGTGTAAAGACAGTTGATTTTTTCTTCATCTTTTAGTTCTATTGTGTCCTTATTGTGTATTTTAAAGCATATAAATATCTTTAAAACCTAATTTTTGGATCACTTGTAGTAGTAATTTAGGTAAGTAAACTTTGTATAATTGGCTTTTAGTTAACTTGAATTAATCTTAATGTCATTCTGAGCAAATTTCATTTCATGGTACTTCTGTACATGGATTTTATTTAAAGTTGAATTGTCTGTAAAACTGGCATGTGTACACATGAGATTGTAAAAACATTTCCACTTTAAATATTACTGTTTTTCACTTGTTTTGAATTTTTAATTAGTAATTTAGAAAAATAATTTAGGTTCTTCTTCCTTAATTTCAGAGTAACTTTGTAATTAGTAAAACCATTTTGCAGTTAGTAGATTGCTTTATTTCTATTAGTACTGTTGTAAAGGAAATTAAGATGTGTCAGAAAGCTTATATTTGCTCTATTTTATAAATATTAATGTTTATTATGACAGATAAAAATATCTGTGGCCAAAGCACAGTCTGCTGGGATGCCAAAGACATTATTATATTTTTACTATTAGAGATTGAAGTTAGTATTTCCTGAAGATGATGTTTCAGAAAGCATTTTTGTGTTGTAATACTTGAGCACCTAATTTCAGCTGTCACTTTTGGATGAAGTATTTATATTATAGTTTGTCTAAATAGCAACAAGGTCAACAGAAATCCGGATAGATCATCTTCTCTAACCACTAATATAGTATATACATTATAAGTGCATGTATAGTCTGGGCACGGTGGCTCACACCTGAAATCTCAGCACTTTGGGAGGCCAAGGTGGGCAGATCATGAGGTCAGGAGTTTGAAACCAGCCTGGCCAGCATGGTGAAACCCCGTTTATACTAAAAATACAAAGATTAGCCAAGGATGGTGGCACATGCCTGTAATCTTAGCTACTTGAGGAGGCTAAGGTAGGAGAATCACTTGACCCTGTGAGGTGGAGGTTTCATTGAGCTGAGATCACACCATTGCACTCCATCCAGCCTAGGCAACAGATTGAGACTCCATCTCCAAAAAAAAAAAGTATATGTATTAAAAAATAGAAATATAAAAAATGATTTAATTAAATAAATGGTAGTCTGAAATTTTCCAAAGAATCATCTTACAACCCCCCTCACATGCCTCCATTCTGTTTTATAAACTGTTCCTTAATTACTATTCTACCTGCTGGTTATCAGTGATTAGATTTCTTTTTTTCCTGTGATGGAGTTTTGCTGTTACCTGGGCTGGAGTGCTGTGGTGTGATTTTTGACTCACTGCAGTCTCCACTTCTCAGGTTCAAGCGATTCTCCTGTTTCAGCCTCCCAAGTAGCTGGGATTACAGGTGCCCGCAACCACACCCAGCTAATTTTTTGTGGTTTTAGTAGAGATGGGGTTTTACCACATTTCCCCCACTGGCCTTGAACTCCTGACCTCAGGTGATCCATCCTCCTCAGCCTCCCAAAGTGCTGGGATTACAGATATGAATGAGCCACTGTGTCCAGCTAGTGATCTCATTGTTAATGGAGACATTTTCTCACTCCTCAGTCTTCTTGACCTCCTCTGCAGCATTCTTTCCTTTAGAAATTCTTTGCCTTTGGGATTCATTAATGCATACTATTCTCTTTTTTTGCGACGGAGTTTCGCTCTTGTTACCCAGTCTGGAGTGCAACGGTGCTATCTCGGCTCACTGCAACCTCCGCCTCCTGGGTTCAGGCAATTCTCCTGCCTCAGCCTCCCGAGTAGCTGGGATTACAGGTACGCGCCACCATGCCCAGCTAATTTTTTATATTGTTAGTAGAGATGGGGTTTCACCATATTGACCAGGTTGGTCTCGATCTCTCGACCTCGTGATTCACCCGCCTTGGCCTCCCAAAGTGCTTGGATTACAGGCTTGAGCCACCGTGCCCAGCCTGCATACTATTCTCTTAACTGTTCCAGTCCTATCACTGCATTTCCATCCTACACAATCATCCCTTATCTCTATACAACTAAATATAGGTGTTTTCAAAGCCTTGTCCTTAATTTTCTTCTTGCCAGTCTCCACAGAACCTATTATTTTAATTTTTACCTATATGTAAATGTTTCTAAATGAAGTCTGACCTTTAGTTGTACTTTTCTAATATCTAGTCGGACATCACCACCTGATCTTCTGTCATCTTTTCAGAACCAACATGTAATTCGGTTAATGGTATTATAGTCATTTCAGTCATTTGAAATTTCACCATTAACTCTTGGATTTTTTTTTCTTTTTTGGAGATGGAGTCTCTCTCTGTCACCCAGGCTGGAGTATGGTGGCGTGATCTTAGCTCACTGCAACTTCTGCTTCTGAGGCTCAGGCAATCCTCCCACCTCAGCCTCCTGAGGACTACAGGTCTACACCACCATGCCTGGCTAATTTTTGTATTTTTAGTAGAGATGGGGTTTGCCATGTTGCTCAGGCTGGTCTTGAACTCTTGAGTTCAAGTAATTCGCCTGCCTCAGACTCCCAAAGTGCTATGATTACAGGTGTGAGCCACCATGCCCTGCCTTACACATCTTTTTAGTTTTCAGATTCTATAAGTTTTTCCTATTTGGTGTCTAATTTATGGCTTCCTCTTCAACTCCTTTACTCTTTCCTTAATTCAGTTTTCATTGCCTCTTATTTGGACTGTACTAAGTTTCCTATCTAGTCTCCAGGATTTCAGTCCTTCTGCCCTCTATCAGTTTGTCTTATATAACACAGTAAGATTAATCTTCCTAAAGTACACGTTTGACCATATCTAAAATCCTTTTGTTTCTCTCTCTTTATTAACTTAAGAAATCTGTATATGGAACCCTCTGAAAATCACTATGTGCTTTGATACCAGTATATCTTACCAGTATTATTTCTTACTACTTCCTTTCATACTTTAGCAAAATTGAATCCCTTATATTCTAAAAGCTCCAGTGCCTTTGTTTATACTCTTTTCTTCTACTTTAAATGCTCTTCCACTCTAGCTATATGTTTACATATTACCTATCTTTGAAAATCCAGCTGAAAGAAAGGGATTGCTGGTTCTTCTTAGGGAAACTGGGAAGCCTTAGGAAGATATCATTTGTCTACTTGAAAGATTAATAGAAATCAGCAGGAGACAGATAAGGAAATCATTCCAATTGGAGGGACTGGCATGTACAAGAGGCATGAAAGAAGGAATCAGCTGGTAATGTTTGGAGTATCTTGAAGGTAGAGTACATGTAAGAGAGTGAGACTAGAAAAATAAGTTATGGTCAAATGTATCATCGTAAGGGGTGAGGAATTCAGACTTGATCATCTAAGTAGGAAGAAAGAGATATTAATATGTTTTAAATGATGAAACCAAATAAAATTTTGATTTCAGAAATCCAACTCTGGCAGCAGTTTAAAGGATGATACTAAAGCTACTTAGAATCAATATCTGGGAATGAACCTAGTAGAGTATGTGTATGCATGGCCGTTACAGAGAACATTGTAAACTTTTATTGAGAGATATTAAAGAAGACCCAATAGAAATCGTAATCATTGTTTAGAAACCACAATATTGTAAAGATGTAAATGTATCCCCAAGTTGATTTCAAGCTATAGTACAGTCCCAATCAAGATCAAACAGGTTGTGTCTGTGTATACCTTGAAGCTGAATCTGTAATTTATATAAACATGCACAGGATCAAGTAGATAACACACTGGAGAAGAAGAACAAGGTTGGAGAACTTTATTATATGTCTTGACTTTTAACACTAAATTAATTGGTAGATCTGTGGAACAGAACCAGAGTAGTGCTGGGACAACTGGATATCTCTGTGCAGAAGAATGAAACTAGACTACTATCAATCACATAATAAAACTCATAGTGGATTAAAGACTTAAATGTAAGACCTCAAACTATAAAACTACTAGATGAAAATGAGGGGAGGACTTTAGTCAAAGATCTTATGGCTAAGACTTAAAAGCATAGGCAACAAAACAAAAAAAGACAAATGGAGCTATATTAAACTATTAGGTTGGTACAAAAGTAATTGCAGTTTTTGCCTTTTTTTTTTTCTTTTAAACAGCAAAACTTTACTTTTGCACTAACCTAATAAAAAGCTTCTATACAGCAAAGGTAACAGTCAGAAGAGTGAAGAAACAGCCTATAGAATGGGAGGAAATATTTGGGAGTATTTCACCTGTATGTTTCCCAGCTATTTAACCTGTACAGTGGGAGAAAATATTTGCAAATACTGCAAATTCAATGAGAAGACAATACAGTAGAAAAATGGACAGAAGAAAATAATTTCACCAGGCTGGGCAACATAAGTGAGACCCTATCCCTGCAAAAAACAACAATAAAAAATTAGCTGGGAATGGTGGTGTGCATGTGTTGCTCTGGCTGTTCATGAAGCTGAGGCAGGAGGATCACTTGAGCCCACGAAGTTTGAGACTACGGTAAGCTATATGATCACACCACTGCACTGTAGCCTGAGTGACAGAATAAGACCCTTTCTCTGAAACCAAAGGGGAAATCAGATGGCCAATAAATACATGGAAAGGTGCCTAATTTCATTAATAGGGAAATTCAAATTAGAATCATATTTGGGAAATACCACATTCCCCAAAGTTTTTAAAAGTTGATAATACTAAGTGCTAAGTATTGGTGCAGATGTAGAGCAACAGGAACTCTTATACACTGTTGATAGGAATATAAGTTGAAAAACTACTTGAAAAATTGTTTGGTATGAAAATGAAGGACCTAGCAGTTCCTCTCTCAGATAGATACTTTGGAGACTGTTTATGTTTAAGAAGGTTCAGAGAAGCATTGTTTGTATAGCCCAAACTAGCAACAGCACAAATGTTCATCAGCAGTTGAATGGACAGATAAACTGTGGTAAAGTCATAGCATCGAATACCCGTATCATGAGGCTACTAGCAACAATGTGGATAAGCTTTTTAAAATGTTGAATGAAAGAAGAAAGGCATGAAAGAATATATGCAGCCTGATTCTTTCTATGTAAACATCAAAACATACCAAATTAATATAAGTTGAAAAAGTTTGAATAAATTTTTTTTAAATGGATGGGTGCGGTGGCTCATGCCTATAGTCCCAGCACTTTGGGAGGCTAAGACAAATGAACCACCTGAGGTCAGGAGTTTGACCAAAATGGTGAAACCCCATCTCTACTAAAATTACAAAAATTAGCTGATCATGGTCGTGGGCACCTGTAGTCCCAGCTACTCGGGAGGCTCAGGCAGGAGAATTGCTTGAACCTGGGAGGCGGATTGCAGTGAGCCACTATTGCGCCACTATACTCCAGCCTGGGTGACAGAGCGAGATTCCATCTCAAAACAAAAAAAAATTGTTAAAAAATAACATAGCATTTGCTAGGTGCAGTGGCTTACACCTGTAATCTTAGTAGGCTGAGGTGGGTGAGTCACTCGAGATCAGGAGTTCAAGACCAGCCTGGCCAACATGATGAAGCCTTATTTCTACTACTAAAAATATGAAAATTAGCTAAGCATCATGGCATGCACCTGTAATCCCGGCTACTTGAGTGAGAATCGCTTGAACCTGGAAGGTGGAGGGAGTTGAGATCATGCCACTGTACTCCAGCCTGGGTGACAGAGTTAGACTCCATCTCTAATAATAATAATAACAACAACAATAATAATAAAGGATAAAAGCAATATTTCTAAGTATATTTTATTTTTTATTCATTATGGTTTTTAGAGACAGAGTCTCACACAATTGCCCAGGCTGGAGTGCAGTGGCACAGTTACAGTTCACTGCAGCCTCAAATCCTGGCTCAGGTGATCCTTCCTGCCTCTGCCTCCCAAAGTAGCTAAGACTACAGGTATACACCAGCTAATTTTTAAATATTTGTAGAGATGGGATCTTGCTGTGTTGCCAAGCTGGTCCTGAACTCCTATCCTCAACTGATCCTCCCACCTTGGTTTCCCAAATTGCTGGGCTTACAGGCATGAAGCCACCCTACCTAGCCTCTAAATATATTTTATATGATGTAATCTGAAGTAATGTATGTGGAACTAAATCACTGGATTAAATAATGCAAGTGGACATTTGGCTTCTGTCTATACTCCACCCCCCAAATTAATACCTTTTTTGAGCCAAAATATTTAGTGTGTGTGTATCTTTTTTATTAGGGGAAAACATGAGGAAAAAATATTTGATTATATATGGTGTTTAGGAGATTGGGTATTCCTGGTTACTGACTAGGTTTGATTGAAGAATAAATGATCAAGGATGATCCAAGTTTCTGTTTAAATAACTGGATGAATGCTGTTACTTGTTGGGATAGACGACAATACATTAAAAGCAGTTTTGAACTTACATGTAGAATCCAGTTGAACAAGTTATATAAGGCAGGATGGGCCAGGAAACAAGCAGGGATTTGCATTTTATTTGAAGTCATATTGAGCAAATAATTTGGCTCAGTAAGAACACATAGCAGACAGAAAAGCATAGGATAAAGCCATATAATTTAAGGAACTTGGGAACATTCTAAGGAGGGGGTGTTATGAGAACCAAAAATACCACAAATAGGCAAGTAGGAAGGTTGGGTGGTTTGCCTGTCAAAAACAGTATTTTTATTCTTTATTATTAATATCCCCCTCTATTGCCATAAACGTACTTTTTTCTGAGTTGTTTGGAAAGTGGTTTAAGTTATATTTATCAATTTTGATTAATTTTAGCAGTCTTTTCTAAATGCTGGAGAAAATCTCAAGATGTTTGATATATTACAGTAAGGGAACCTGCAGCTCAAGA